TGTATGATGCAATGCAGTCTGTTAGTTCCATTTGCCATCCATGGGGGGTTTTAGACATGTCTTGCATAGTATTCATGCTTGGGGTGGATGAGGTTGGAGTTCTATAGTGGGCAAGCTGCTTGCAGCTTGTTGGAAAATTATGGCATGTCAGGACACTTGCCTCAATATTTTGCTGTGATCCAATCAATATGTTGTGACACTATACATGCTATTGGTGTTGGGCCCATCTTATGTTGCGACAGGGGTGGATCTTACTAGACAGACCCATCCTTGTTTTATGGCAATATAAAAGATATTACTGAAGGGCACATCCATACATTATGACCATATAAATAATACTGCTGAAGGGCCCATCCTTATGTTGTGACCACATAAATGATACTGCTGAAGGGCCCTTCCATATGTTGTGACACTATAAATGATATTACTGATGGGCCCATCTTTATGTTGTGACAGGGGTGCATCTTACTAGATGGGCCCATCTATGTGCTGTGATGCTGTAAATGATATTACTGATGGGCCCATCTTTATGTTGCAACAGGCATACATGTTGCTATTGATGGGCCTGTCCATGTGTTGTGACTGTGTAATTGATATTACTGACAGGCCTGTCTCATGTTGCAACAGGGGCATATCTTACTAGATGGGCCCTTCCATATGTTGTGATGCTATAAATGATATTACTGATGGACCCATCTCTATGTTGTGACAGGGGCACATCTTACTAGATGGGCCTGTCTTTATGTTGTGACAGGGGTGTATCTTACTAGACAGGCCTGTCCATCTGTTGTGACAATGTAATTGATAATACTGACTGGCCCATCTTTATGTTGTGACATGGGTGCATCTTACTAGATGGGCCCATCCATGTGTTGTGACCCTGTAAATGATATATATTGAAGGGCCTGTCTTTATGTTGCGACAGGTACATCTTACTATGGACAGGCCCACCCATGTGTTGTGATGGTATAAATGATATTATGGAAGGGCCTGTCCATATGTTGTGATGCTATAAATGATATTACTGATGGGCCCATCTTTATGTTGTGGCAGGGATGCATCTTACTAGATGGGCCCATCTATGTGTTGTGATGCTGTCAATGATATTACTGACAGGCCCATCCTTATGTTGTGACAGGCACACATCTTGCTATGGATGGGCCCATCTATATGTTGTGACAGGGGTATATTATCCCAAAGATGGGCCCTTCCATATGTTGCCAACTCTGTAATCTATCATAGATGGGCCCCTCTTTATGTTGTGACCCTATAAAGCACATGACAGGCAGGCCCATCCATATGTTGCAACCTTCTTCATGATACAATAGGTGGGCCCATCCATGTCTCACAGTAGCTTAGCATACTTACTTGGTCACAGGCCTGTCTATATGTTGCAGCATCCTTACCCTCCACAGGCCCTCCCATATGTTGTGGAATTGCATTTACAGGCCCATACATATGTTCCTCTCACTATAGGCCCCCAGGCCTGTCCATGTGTCATGGCTAATCTATTTAGACAGGCCTGTCATGGGGTCTATATAAATGTTGGCATTTTGGCACACAGGCTACCTATATGTTGTGACTAAATGGACTACATGGGGTCTCCATTTGAGAAGGAAACTCTCTCTTCACTCTTCAACTTTCAGGACAAATGATGGGTGGAAATGACAGAGAGAATTAGTCTTAGGTCCCTGGATGAAGAATTGGAGCTGCATGAATTAATTGAACTTGATGCAGAGGGTGAAGATGATGAGCAAGAATTTGATAGCATGATGAGCAGTACTGTGTAAATGTAACTCTGTCTACTTTGCTTGATAAAAAATGATACAGAACTTGTCTGATGATCCATTGAATGGGTGCTAATCAGCTAGCTCACATCTATGCAAGCCACAGAAGTCCCATAGATAACTTTGGATAGTACAAAAATTGATAGGGAACTTTGATTCTTCACTTTGGGACAGCACAGGATATGGGTGAATCCAGACCTACAATTTTTATTTCACTATTCACAACTTTTCCATCATTCTTTCTTCTGAAAATTTTCATGGTACCAGTCCCAAGGGTAATCTTGTTACCACAAAAAATTAGACCAAAAATCATTGAATCATTGTGCTATTCATGAGTTTTACGAGCACCAGGTGAAGCATAGTACAATATTTGTTTTGTTTACTGCCATGCCATGTGACCCTCACCCAATCAGAATGTGTTATTTACTACTATCGCCATGGTTGTGGTCTGTGGCTCCGCCATGCCTGGCTTTCTGGCAAGCCACTGGCACTTCGAACACTGGTGAGAACCTCTTGGACCAGCCCATCTTACGAAGTATTGGGTAGTGTGCAGATGCATTGTATTTGGATGAACTCGTCATTACATCCAGACATGAATGTTGAATGTCAAGGATATGCTATCAGTATTGCATGGAACAGAATATTGTGTGTTTGATTCCAAGCAAAGCACAGGTGCATTACCACGTGTAAGTTTCTACCATGTCATAGACCCCGAATTCAGATAGGGAACCAGTGATTTTGCACGTCCAGTCGATTCTTCAAATATAGGATTTCTTTGTTTACAATGCACTGCATGAAACTGTGCCATGTCGCTGACAGTCAACTGGAATCCATCAACCCATATTCTCTAATAAAAATCCACATGATTAACATCAAGTTGCCCATACCTGTGTGGGTTCAGGAACATTGTATGACTGTACGTGGTGAAATTAAAGTAGCCTATGGGTCATAGCTATGACCTTCGCAACCACACTTATGTATTTTACTGGGAACACGTGCTATTTCGATGTTCGAGCGCCTCAGGGCTGTGCTTGCTGAGGCTGCGTTCCTCCAGACACGAAAATAAACCGCAGTCGATTCTTTCACTTTGCTCTCAATCTCTACACATACTACATAAGGAGGTCCACACAACCCCCCACCATGCATCTCGTTCTCTCTGCCGAGAGTGTGCGAAACACGATTATGACCAATGAGAATGGTCAAGTCCTGTACAAAACCTCTACACCTTTCAGCATCGGAACCCGCACGACCACATTCTACAAAGTTGTCCCAAATTCAGATCCAGATGATATGCAGGACCATTTGGAGGCCATTGGGGAGATCGAATGGAATTTGATGGGCTCATCTGTAATGCGACTCCATGGACAGGAAATGATGACGGACACGTTCATTCCTTGGCATGGAATCACAGGAAGGTGATCCACATATTGTTTCCGGTATACATCCATAGGACTCATGTTATTCCAAATTTACAGAAAGCACACATTCATGGGGCCGGATGGTTTCTCCTACAGATGGGACATGGATTTCAGGGTCGTCAGAGTGTGTGCTGGCCTTAACATCTTCCCCCACTTCCTGGCTTTGACAGGTTTTGGCACACAGTTGTCACACAATGATGCTACTTGCCAAGAACTCGCGCGGTCACATAGATGAAGCCTCGGCATCATCGGGCCCCGAAGGGACCCTTCTCTTGATGTCGATCCAAGCCTCATGCATATGCTTGACATAGTCATACTCACTTTTGTCTATGTAGAAAAATTGCGGATGGACAAGGAGAAATGAATGAGACAAAATAATGGCGGTGGTGGTGGTCCATGAAGTACTGGAATGTTACAGAGGTAATATGACTTGTCTCCGCTCACCGTAATGGACTGTTTACCCTTAGGATATTGTGCATTATACTTCTTTGCTCTGCTTAATCTACCTGGGATCTCATACATGCACATACTTTGTTGATGCAACTATCATGTGATGAGCAGTGTGAACAATCATGTCTCGTCATTTTCGGGGCCCCCTTATGCATGCATTTAACCGTATTCTATCCATTTTTTTGCCCAGGCTTGTAGCCAAGACCTGCCTCTATTAGACCATCCAAGACCGAGTACAAGAAAGGTTGTTGTTTTGTAGTTATTCCAATTTTTTTAAAATTGTGCATTACCTGTCACATGATAGCACAGATATGTGTGACGGTGCCAGTGTCGAGTTGACAGATCCTTGCTGTTGGAAATATTACTATATGTTCCGACGTCTAGATTGATCCAGACTTAAACGTGTATCAACATGTTGCTCATCACATGACATTCCTTATCAATCAGCTCCACAATGATGTCATTCTGACATCATATAATATGTCATATTCCATGACCTTCTATGCATTTCGTTACTATACTGAGTAGTAGTTTCCTTTTACGCTACTGGTCTGTGTGTATCTACTCATGTATATAAACTCAGGGATTTCTTCCTCAAATCCCAACCAAATTCTACATTCGATTCTTCACTTGTCTATTCGACAACTGAGCCCCCCAAAACTTCTACAAGTTTATCAAATCTACTACCGTTCTAACTAAAGGCAAGTGTTCGTGCCTATTGCTCTTTGTTTCTCCCGTTCCTCTGCACAATAGGTTATGAGCCCTGCTTTCTAGGCAGTGTGCTATTTACGCATTTGCACCGAGCGATCACTGCCGATGGGCAAATCACAATGGATGTCGTAGGCCTAGATGCGCTAGGAATGGTAGTAGTAGTTTTCACTGTGTCGCTTGTTGCCGGCCTTAATCAGGCTGTGCTTTTACTTCATTATGGTGGTCACAATCCGATTTATCTACATGAGCTGTTTGTACGCTTGGTAGCCTTTTGGCTTTCTTTTCTAGGTCTCTCCACCTGGTGGCGAAGGCGACAGCTTCTGCTACAAGAGCAGATTCTTCGTCGTGCATTGTTACAACGCCTTATCCTTCGGCCTCCTACTCCACCCCCACATTACCTTCATTTTCATCTTCCTGACATTGACCATGACACTGACCTTGATCCTGTCCCGCCTTATGACAAGGTTGAAGCGCGTGACCCGCCTTCTCCACATCGAGCTCCGACTCCTCAACCTGAGGAAGTCATTGCTTTGAACGAGTTGCTCAATCCAGAGCTCATTCTCGCTATCATCCCTGACGATAATGCTGAGTTTGACTTACTTTAAAAACTCATTCGTGTTCTTTTGCTCAAGCTACAGGAACTGATCTACGGTCTTTACAAGATGTCTTTGGTCATCGCTAAGAAAACTGAACTTCAAATCACAGAACATTGCGACAGGATGTACGATGTAAAGTGGCGGAAGTATGCGGTAAAAGAGATTATAGAATATACCAAGATGTTATATGTATGTGGCTGTGCAAGTTGGAGAGAAGCGGTTCCGTCGAGCGTCGTGTTCTTCAGGAAGCCGAATCCGGCTACCTACCTTGTTCCCATTGACACTGTGGAAACAGCGTGGCAACAAATGCCCCACTTTCCCGGTTTCGAATCACCCTTCTTCTATCTGGGTCTTCATTTAGCCTTCCATGGCTACCTCACCGACTTCTTCCCTAAACTTTCCCATATGTCGACTCCTCATGCTATAGCTAACTTCAACGGTTGTGATCTTCCCTCAGCTTACTATGAAGATCCTTCCCTCGACACTGTTCTGGCATTTTCGGTCACCCACGATACATTTGTATACATCTACTACAACGTCCACCCCCTCTACGATCCGTGCTTCAATGGCGTCATCCCTCCTCTCTGCCTTTGGAACCAGCATCTTGAGTTCCATTTCAGAGGAACTTGGGTTGACAGAAGTACCAACATTGCCTGTATCCCCAGGTGGTTCTGAGAACGGAGATGCGGAGGAGACTGCTTTGATAGCAACCTCTTTAGGTTTATTCAACGGTTCAGGGATGAAGCAGATGTGGGAAGTACCTTGTGATATAACTCTGTTAACCAGCATCTTTCATGGGGTTACGATCCCACTGATGCAGGATTCACTTACTGGCCTGGATCAGAGGAGATTTTACACAATTTCGAACATGTCATGGACGACTCTACTTTTGACTATCTCGCAGAACCCAGACCTCGCGGAATTCGCAGTACGGCTCTTAGCTGAGCTCGTGACACTCGCGCTGTATGACAAAAGTTATCCTCTTCCAAACTCGCTGGACACACCATACATATCAGGCAGCCGAAACCATTGGGAAACTAATACTTGTACTTTATATGAGTCATACAATTGTCTTGAAGTATTAGTTAAGGACAAACATTTTCGCTATTCTCCTGCCTTAAATGTACCATATTCTTGTGCTGATCCCTACTTGGGACTTCGATCGGATGGGATTCCATTGCATGATTGCAATTGGAGCTTTATGTCTTATCATTATTTCCCTCCACTAGACTTCTTAAGTCTAGAGCGCAATAATTCTCGCATCTCATCTTGGAGATTCGCTGAGAAGGGTACTATGGCACCTCAGACAAAAATGGAGAAGAGATGAAATCCACGTCCTTATTTCAAAACCAAGGTTTCTCACAATCGCCCATCTCAATCTGCTTGAGCTTCTGCTCGCAGACCCAAAAGGAATCGGATTCACAATTTAAATCCTCCATCCATTAAAATCCATCCAACTCCCTCGTTCTTATATGAACACCTGCTTATGGACTTTTGACACTAGATGTCCAAAGGTCTTTCAAAGCAGATCCCCAAGCTTAATGGCTTGAATTATGCTTCTTGGTCAGTTCTTATGAAGGCTTACATGCAAACTCTTGGTATTATGGGAGTCATTGACGGCACTGTGGCTTGACCCGCTGCTGGTGCTGCTGCTGCAGATATTGCTGCCTGGGTCACTTCTGATACTCGTGCCCAAGGCATTCTCACACTCTATTGTGATCCAATGATTGCAATGTCTATTGACGGGCATGCCACTTCTCATTTGAAATGGCAGGCATTATTAAATGCATATGGAACTCCTTTGGCGATGACGACCTTTATGGAATTCCAACGCCTCATCCGTATTCAAATTAAACCAAAAGATGACATAATGGCCAAAATCGTGGAGATCAATATGATTCTCGCTGCCATTAGTGCGCAGGGCATTGCCCTAAATGATAAAATGAAGGCGCTCATCTTGGTTCATTCAATGACTCAAGCCTGGGAACAGGCTCCCGTCAATATTCTATCTTCTATTGCCGCCAATCAACTTTCTCCTGATACTGTTATACCATGCATGAAAGAAGTCTGGGCCCACAGATCGGGCAAAACTATGCTTCCACAACAGGATAAATCTGGGTCTTCATCTACCCAGATCAAACAAGAATCAAATTCACTTCTGGCATGAATGAATAAACTACCTCTTTGCCAAATATGCAGAGGAGGTCATAATACTTCCGATCATCAATCTGGATCTGGATCAGGATCCTTTCACGGTTACCATGGAGGTCGCAGAAGAGGTCGTGGAGGTCATGGCTGTGGACATGGAGGTTATACTCCCTATGGCCAGCAACAACAGCAGCAAGGTTCTGGTTCTCGTGGCCGAGGCCAGAACAGACGCTGAGGCAAGGGCAAGGCCCAAGCCAATAATCTCGAAGTAGAAGGCGCAGAAGCAATTGACACTGCCTATATCGAGGAACTTCCAGAAGGTTCCTATGATCCAAATTCTAGATCTTGGGATGTCTATCCAGATCAGGAATCCTTCGAGAATGCCGCTGCTTCTTTTGACACTGGTGATTTTGATATCACAGCTATTAATTTTCCACCCTGCGAACCATCTCCTGAATATTCTCTCCCAGATCCTACTCCAGTTGAACGAGTCTATTCTAATGACCTCAATACTTATCTCAGACAACACATCATAACTGATACCGAGATGTATGATCCTGATCTTTCCCGCCAAGATCTCACTATGGCAATGGAAACAGTTGGGGATTCCCCCAATTACCCAGTTGATGTTACAACTGGAAATCTTGCTCCTTGGTATCTGGAGGAAATTCAAAATTTCCAATTGGATCAAGTTGAGTCAGTCAAGATTTGTGTTAACATTCCTGGCTCTAATATCTGCCAATGTTCTATTTGTTGCCGAACAGCCACAACTTGCAACCTGCTGGAGGTTTCCCTTTGGGAACCAAAGCAATGGAAGTACTTGGACTCTCATCCAAGGAAGATTTCCCTTCCCCCTGCTGAGCAGGACAGGTCATGTACGAGTGGTTCCCTCGAACCCTCAGTACGAGTGGGAAATTCCATTTTGGCTGGCGAGAACTTGGTGGAGGACAGGAATGTTGAGGACCATGGCAATTCGGCTACGCCGAACAAACAGACTTTTGATCTCTCTTCCCCTCGACTTCGAGGACAGAATTGTAGAGACGGAGGATCTCTCCAAAAATCCATTTTAGTTAAATCTTCTAAACAGAATTGCCCAATGTCCTTATCTCAATTTCACAAATCTGTGCCAGAAAATCCTGTTTATAAGTCTTTTCGTATAAAGCATAATCCAGACATCAAGTATGATCCTAACGAATCTGCCTCTGGGTATTTACCCATGCAATTCGATGGTCATGCCTTCGATTCTTATGACTGTTATCCTTTGGATGACTATAAGTCATATGCTAATCTTAAAAAGAACCTGCCAAAGGGTGAGTCTTTATGGATGTTGGATTCAGGAGCATCACACCATGTGACTCCTTTTAAAACTGATTTCTTGACTTATCAAGAATTTAAAAATCCACCTTTGACCTCTACAGCAGGCACTAAAAAGGTTCAACTTCTTGGTCAAGGAACAGTGGTTATTCGCCTGGAAAATGGCAGTAACCTACCACTACATAATGTTGTCTACAGTCCTTTGTTTTCAAAGCGACTATGTTCACGAAATGCACTCCTCAATAACGGGTATAGGAGCACTGCAACACTTACAAGTGAGACTATCAGAGCACCGGATGGCTGGATTGTCCTTGAAGCAAAACTAGCTTCACCGACTTCACCTCTTCATTGGTTTGTGGGCATACTGCTTCCACCTACCACTGCCTATGGGGTCCTTTGCCCTCTGGTCAAGGAATCTCAAGAGTCTCTTTGGCATAATCGCATGTGTCACCCTGCACAAGCAGTTCTCCAACATATTCACCGATTAGGGCTGAAACACGAAATACAAATACAGGGGGAGACTACCTCTTGTAAAGGTTGCGCACAGGGCAAGCTTTCTTCCGAAGCTTTTAAACCATCATGGAAACGAGCAACTAAACCTCTCGAGTTGGTCCATGCTGATCTTCTCGAATTACCTGTCGAATCTTATTTTCGGTCCAAATACATCCTTACTCTCTTGGATGATTTCTCATCCTACGGTTTTTGTCTCTACCTTTGCAACAAATCCAACACATATACTGCTTTTGCCAATTGGATGGTTTCTGTTCAGAACACTACTGGACATCATCTTCTTGCGCTCCGGTCAGATCGAGGGGGAGAATTCATGGGTACTACTTTCAAGACACTCCTTTCTTCGTGCAGAATTACCCATTACCTTTCAATTGCCAATCAACCTCAACAGAATGGTCGTGCAGAACGCTTTAATCAGACTATTTCTGAAAAAGCTGGGACCATTCGACACCATGCTTGTGTTCCCAAATGCTTCTGGAACTTTGCTTTTGATTGTGCACTTCATGTGTACAATCGTACCCCTCTCAAAAGGATTACTTTCAAGACTCCAGTTGAACTCTTTTTAGGAAAAGTCCTGGATATTTCCTATTTCCACACCTTTGGCTGCAGAGCCTTTGTATGGGTTCCTAAAGAACAAAGAAAAGACAAATTGGAACCTCATGCAGTCGAAATGATTTTCTTAGGCTATGAGCCTAATACAAAAGGATATCGGTTCCTTCATGGACAGAAGATTATTCTTTCTCGAACTGCAAAATTTGTAGAAGACTCTTTTCCTTTTTGCTCTGATTCCAAAAAATCTGAAATCTTTGACCCCAATACCGAAGACAACCATGAATCATCTGCTTCTGACTCTGAAAGCCTACATTCATTACCGGATCCTGATCAGATCCAACCAGCACCTCATCAACACCAACCACCTCGTCCTAACACTCCATCACAACCACAAAACCCACAGCAGAGAGCTGTGGACCAGCCTAGAGCTCATCAACCAAGAAGAGCACCTGCTGCTGTACCACCAGTCGACCCTCGTCATCTTAGGCATCCCTATCAACCTGAATTTGTTCAAGGAGACTCGCGTAATGTTTGCAGAGCTCAACCTGCTGATGACAGAGAACCTCGTCCAAAACGTCGTTTTATACCAGTATCTTGTCCTGGAAATATTTATGGAGATCGACCTCCAGTGGACATTGAACAAGATATCCAAAGAAATCAGGATCAAGCACAACAGTGGATTTGTAATGCTGAGCAACATGCTCACAATTCCAGAGAAGATATTCGGAGATATGCAGAAGAACGAAGACCTCCTTCTCCGAGGTTACCTCCTGCACTAGTTCCTCCTGAAATTCCTCGTCAGTGGACTGAACATCCACAAGGAACTACTCCTCCATCCCCTGGATCTCCACTCACTCCTATTCCAGATACTCCTGATTCTCCTAAAGGCATGCCAGATCAACAAGTAGATATGCATCCTTTTGAGTTTGCATTGGCTGCCAGGATAAAAGAATCACCGGAACATTATAAAGATGTGCTAAAGTTATCTCCCGATCTACAAAAGAAGTGGTTCGACACAATGAAGGATGAATTAAAGTCTATTGAAGAAAGACAAGTATGGACTTTGGTGGATCCTCCAAGAGATTGGAAACCTGTAAAGTGTCGATGGGTTTTCGCAATAAAAAGCGATGGTTGTTATAAAGCTCGTCTTGTGGCTAAAGGCTTCACACAAGAATTTGGTACCGACTTTGAAGATACCTTCTCTCCAGTGGCTCAATTCAAAACTGTTCGAATCTTACTTGCGTTTGCTGCTCAAAGGAATTGGGAAGCAGAAGCACTGGATGTTAAAACTGCCTTCTTATATGGCAATCTTGATGAAGAAATTTATATGGAGCAACCAGAAGGTTTCAAAGTTTCGGGTCAAGAACACAAGGTTTATTGGTTGCTTAGAGCCCTTTATGGCTTAAAGCAAGCTGCATTGGCATGGAATAAAGCCCTACATCAATCCTTACTCGCTATGGGCTACATTCATTCAAAAGTGGATGCTGGAATCTATATCCATAGTTCCAAAGCCGGAATTGTCATTTTTCTCGTCTATGTTGATGATGGACTCTTTCTAGGATCAGACAAACATCTTCTTAAAGCCAAGAAAGAACAATTTATGAAGAAATGGGAATCCCGAGATCTTGGTGAAGTCAAGGAATACCTTGGCATTCAAATTCACTGAGATAGGTCGAAGAAAGAAATATATCTCGACCAAATACCTTATGTCAAAAAGGTTATTAAACGGTTTAACATGGAGACTGCTCAAAATGTTCGCACTCCATTACCATTGGGATATCAACCAGAAAAGCCACCATCAGATTACCAAGCCACATCTTCTCTTTGGTCACAGTACCAGTCTATTATTGGGTCATTGCTCTATATGGCTCTCGGTACTCGTCCCGATATCGCCTTTGCGGTTATTCGCATGTCACAATATATGGCAAATCCTACTGAAGATCATCGAAATAAAGCCTTGCATATAGTTTGCTATATTGCATCTACACCAAAACTGGCTTTATATTATTCGGGACTTGAGTCTCGAATTTATGGCTTTGCGGATTCTGATTGGGCTGCTAACAAAGACACACATCATTCTACCACTGGTTATGCCATGTTTCTTGGCAATTCCCTTATTTCTTGGCAATCTCACAAACAGAAGACTATCACACTCTCTTCCACTGAAGCCGAATATATGGCTTTATGTGATGCTGCACATCAAATCAAATGGCTTTCTATGCTATTTGATGAACTCAAGTTGAAGACTGAGACAACAATTCTCTACTGCAATAATATGGGAGCTTGCTTTATTGCAGAGAATCCTGTATCGGACAGTCAATCTAAACATATTGATGTCCAGTGGCATTTCATTTGCGAATGTGTTCAAGATAATTTGTTCAGTATTGAATATGTTCAAACTGACAAACAAAAAGCAGATGGTCTTACAAAATCTTTAACGTGGCAGAAATTTGAGATGAATCGCTCATCGATGGGACTTGTTACACTCCCATTCTAGAGCGAGGGGGAGTGTTGGAAATATTACTATATGTTCTGACGTCTAGATTGATCCAGACTTAAACATGTATCAACACGTTGCTCATCACATGACATTCCTTATCAATCAGCTCCACAATGATGTCATTCTGACATCATATAATATGTCATATTCCATGACCTTCTATGCATTTCGTTACTATACTGAGTAGTAGTTTCCTTTTACGCAACTGGTCCATGCGTATCTACTCATGTATATAAACTCAGGGATTTCTTCCTCAAATCCCAACTGAATTCTACATTCAATTCTTCACTTGTCTATTCAACAACTGAGCCCCTCAAAACTTCTACAAGTTTATCAAATCTACTACCGTTCTAACTAAAGGCAAGTGTTCGTGCCTATTGCTCTTCGTTTCTCCCGTTCCTCTGCACAATACTTGCATCATCGTGGTGTACCAAGCTAGAAACCACAGCCTCAAGTGCACCGCAAATTGAATTATGGGTCACATAAAGGACCTTGCATCCTTCGCATCGGCATGCCCAAAATGCGCCTCATATTGTCCCAAGAAGGCGTCTGCAATACGGTTATGACCAACGAAGATGGTCAGGCCCTCTACAAGACTTCCACGCCCTTCCGTTTCGGAAAGCGGACGACCACGCTTTACAAGGTCGTTCCAAATGAGAATCCAGAAGACATGCAAGATAATTTCGAGATCATCGGCGAGATAGAGTGGCATGCAATCAGCTCATCTACGCTACGACTCCACAGGGAAGAAATGAAGACGAAGGACTTTATGCCACGTCATGGATTGTGGAGGAAGTAAGCTCTCAGATCACATTCTTCGTCGAGGTTGACGCACACATGCTGCAGCAAACGCACGTTTACAGGGCCCGATGGTCGGTCGTACAGATGGAATTCGGAACTCTCGGTAGTCCATGTGTGTGCTATTCTCCATTCACAAGATCGCACGATTGACGCGGTTTTCTCTCTTCAGTTACCCAGAGATGACGAGACTTGCCGAGAATTAGCCAGGTCACATCGACGAGAGTGGGGCATCACAGGTGCAAAACGGGATCCCTATCTCGAGGTCGATGAAGAACTCGGACATATGCTCGACATCGTCGTGCTCACTTTTATATATGTAGAGAAACAGCGAATGGATGACGAAACAGCAGTCCACGCTAGCGCGTAAGAAGTTACGAGTCCTTGCCTTCATCAAAGTCGTTCTTGTACCCGGTGGATCGTCGATCATAGCAAGGTTGATTAGAACATTAGCTATGGCACATAATGTCGATGGATACGCACCACATCTATATGAACGAAAAGAAGAAAAACTATACGTACAAGCCCACCACATATTCTCCCACGCCTCACCGAAGTGAGCAGGGGTACTTGTCATCATCTCCTTCCCAGCTTTTCCCACCATTCCCTGTCCATTCTTAGCTTTTCCATGTAAATAAACGTGAGGATGACTAAATCCAGCATGTGTTCCACCTCCTGTGAGATCTCCAGGCATGCTTTGGTACTCTCTACGCCAAGTATGTTGAAGGATCCAAATGTTGAGCGACGGTAACGAGCCACTTCCCTGCGACTCGGACCATCCAAAGAGAGCTAGGCATTGCTACATAAGCAGATCTAATCAGAAATACGACGCTGGGTCACTCACAACGACAATGCGGCGATGCATGTCCCATCTATAGCGTCTGTCGTCGGGGCCCTTAAAGGTTCGCTTCCTATGTGATCGCCATTGATACAGGTTAAATCCACGACGCCATCCTGAACACTCACCGCCCAGTAATACCGTGTCTTCTCAGGAATGAATCTGACCTGAGATCCTTCCCCCCTATTCTGAACATCGCGGAGCCAAAGATGGGCCATCTGATCTTGCCCACTGCCTCAAACCGGTCCTCCATCTGAAGCTGGAAGTCATCGGACACATATTTGCTAATCTTGGTCGTCCACCTTCCGAAACGGAAGGGAGTGGAGGAGACGTAGAGAGGTTGGCCAGTGTCCGACATGAACGTTGCGTTACGGACATTCTCGCTCGATAGTGTAAGAAGCATTTACACAGGGTACTGTCCCAGCCGTTCGTCGCTGGTGGTGGCCTTTCGACAAGCTATCTGGACGGGGCGGGGCGGGAATTAACACGGCGTAGCGTCCTAGATATATGCAAGGGGGTGGGTAAATGATGTTGCGACAAATAGTATATTGTGGTTTCAAGTTCAATGGCTCTGCAGCAGCAGAGCTACCACCCGGTTTCGAATTTCAAGTCTTTTGTATACAAGGATTTTCAATTTAAGAGCACGGGAGAAGAGCGGAAATGAGCCACTGGACTCGTACGAGTAACCTCAGTGACCCATTAAAACCTGAAGGCTGAGGCATGGTCTGATGGTCATGACGAGATCAATATGATGGGCCAATGAGATAACTGGCAACTGACCCAATAACGTTGTCTCACCGATACGCGTGTGGGATACGCCTTCCATCCAAAGATACCGCCATCGTAGCTGAGATAGCTCTGGGCTCCGCATGGAAACACCTATGGCAAATGCCAAGCGGTGGTGAGGTTCCCACTTACCCAAATAGCCTCTGCGCTCGCGCTTGCGGCCTTTTCAGTATTGGTTCGACGTGACAAAACAAAGTCCAGTGACCACTTCGCAACGTGACTTTCCCCAGATTTGGAGGGTCCAAACAGGAAAAGTGGTCGACTCGGGAATTTTGAAAAAATTGCTGTGGGCTGGATCTAAGAAGATACAATGTTCTCGACGTTTTATCAGAGAAGCAACTTGACGATAGCCCAGAATCACGGATATTGGATGCCTTTCCGTGGGCTAAATATGTTGGAATATGATATTTCGGAGTTCCAAATTTGATTGAACTTAATAATAATAATAATTGTTTATGTGCTGGAGTAAACTGTAGGGCTAAAGAATAAACTATTTTGGTTATTTATCAAGGCTCCCCCTATCATTTTGTACCATTATGATGGAGCCTGATCCCACCTATCTTGATGATGATCTCAACAATCTTCTCACCTCATTTCCTGTAGTTGTTGAAGAAGCTTTGGTAGAGGATGAAGAGTCTTATCAGATGGGGCTATGTGCTGCTGCCATGGTCATTGCAGCAGAACTTGGGGAGCAACTCTGTATTGATAGCCACCATGAGAGTTGATTTTACCTTTGCTGTTCACAGCTGCTGCCCAATCCATGCATCAGTACACCTTGGCAAAAACTTTATGAAAGCCAGGATGACTGGGCCTTTATCACAACAATGGGATTTGATGTAGAAACCTTTGGTTATATCCTCACCTCTGGATTTGCTATGGCCTGGTATCACACCCCAATCCCTTGAAATGATACCAATACTACTGGCAATCCATGGCCATCATGCAGGTCTCTCAATGCTGCTGGTGCACTTGGCCTTGTGCTACACTATTTGAATTCAACCATGCACAAAATCAGCCTCCAACAAATATTTGCCATTATCCCTGCCACAGTTTCATGGTGCATCACATTTGGCCTCTTGATCCTTCTTTCAACACTCAGAAACATGCCAGAGGGCCAGATCCACTGGCCCAAGCATGATGAGTTTGATGAACTGTCACAGCTAGTTGCACAGCATCACCCAAGACTTACTGGTGCCTTTGGGAGTATTGATGGCCTCAAACTTCCTGTAAAAACATCAGATGACCTAGATATTGAGAATGCTACCTTCAATGGTTGGCTGTCAGAACATTTTGTGAGTTCTGTGATTGTCTTTTCATCAAAAGGTAGTGGTTTTCACTTGCACATAACTTTGACTTACAAGAACTTATATCTTTGTGAAGGGGAGATCATTGCTGCCAATCTCAATGCCCCTGGTAGTTGGCATGATTCCCATGTTGCTCAGCCAATTTATGCTACACTTCATACAAGGACACCAGATGGATACTACCTTGTTGTGGATACAGCTTTTCCACATGGTACTGCTGACATTCTTGGATGCATATGCACCCCATTGAAAGATGGACAACAAATTTCCAGGACCCCTGACCAGATGTCAGAAGCTATGGCCTACAACCAAGAATTACTCTCATACCATCAAACAGCAGAATGGGGCATGCATGCTATTCAAGGATCATTTGGACAACTTCAAATGCCTTTGAATATTGATGATGACAAGAAAAGGGGTAATTTGATTGAGACCTGCCTCCAGCTACACAATGTACCCACTGTCAAAGTCAGAATTAATCAAATCTGGACAGTTTACCTGCAAAGTTGGCAGTGGACCAATGAAGACCAGGAGGTGTGGACAGGGTTTGCAGAGATGTTGTTCTCTGATCAGATTAAGAAAGATTGCATCTCCCATTTTCACATTACATTCAAGTATGAGCAGTAAATAACTGTATCACTGCACTTCAGGAGTAGGACTAGTATGTGCTGAGTCCATTTTTGCATGGTCTCCCTCAAATCCTTTTCCAAAATCCTCATCATCTTCATCATCCATCAACCATGTGAGAGACCTACCACCATCAGCAAACCTCTTGTAGCACTGACATTTCTTCTTTGGCATATTGTGGTACATCCCTGCAAAGTTACTTGTACCAGGCTGTGACATCTGCAGCATCTCGATCTTCTTTCCCAGGCAGTCATGCTCATGCTGTACTTCATACAACTGGTTATGAAGGTCAAACAGTTGACCATGCAACTTGTCATTAGTTGCCTGTGCATCATGAAGCTGCTGGGTAAGTGCAAGATATTGGTTGCAAGCATGCAGTTGGCATGATCTTCATCACATGCCCTTTGAACTTCTGGATCAAAGGCATTTGAGAGGCAATTCATAAGTTCTGCAGCAGCAGCACCTCAGGTGTTGTGACAAACAGGGGCTGGTTCTGTGCATGCTGAATGAGCAACTGCAGTTAGACAAGAAGGGATCTCTTCATCAGTCAAGCCACCAGACTGGCTAGCAGTTTCAAAAGTCTCATCGAACTTGCTGTCATTGAGATTGCGAGTGCCCACTCATTCATTGAAAAGGTCATCAATGTGGTGAGCCCATAAGATTTCAGGGGGGCAAACACCTGTACTGGTTGGCTTAGGTGTCTTGACTAACTAATTACAAATGAAATGGCATCAGATGCATCAGATGAACACATAATTGTATGACTTACTTGTTTGTACTTTGTCTCAAGTGATGACACCTTACAATCTGGATATCCATTCTTGGAAGCCCACTTATTGAACTTTGTTGCAACTACCTGCCACCCTTGCTGACCCAGTGGAAGCTCCTCTTCAATGCAATCCAATAACATATTCATATCAGACATGGTGTAGTTTCCAGCACCTTGTGGACAGCCTCATTTGGCTTTCAGAAGCTCATTGTCATCATCAAGATCAATGATGTCACATATATGCTTCTTTGACTTCATACTCTGTTTATTTTCTTTATCTCCACTTTTTGATGCCTTTATTTTTGGTAGTAGCTCCAGAGTGACATGCTCCAGCAACTTTTGGAGATGGAACTCACCCCTGAGCCTCCACAATGACATATGGGACAAGAAGGTCTTCATCAAGAGAAGAAGGAAGTGGGACAAGGGCAGGTTCAAATGGCAGGTTGGGAGGATGCATGCTACCAGTGGCCTGTTGGTGGGAGAATGTCACTGGTGACAATGATGGCACCCACTGGGTTCCAGTATTGATATTGCAATGCTACATTGTGCCTGATGTCAGTGTGGTTACATTGTATGTACACAGAGCATACATGCCTTAAGTGCATGCTTCATGCTGGCCTCATTGTGCATTTGGATGCTGTTGGAAGCATGTCAGTGCCCACTGGGAGCAGGGGCATGCAATGGGGCAGTAGTTGAACTTGGCACTGTCTGTAGACAGTTAGGCAATGTATAGGTAGGGTAATATCAAACTGCAGCCTACCATTGTGTAGCCTGGGTGCAGAACCCATGCACCACTTGTGTCATGCACAAATGGATTGCCAGCATCATCATAATGAATCCCATCTGACAACATTGGCAGAGTCAAACACTCGCTAGGCTGCATGCTGATTAGGACACTGGAAATGCAAGATGAGAGCAGAGGACAAATGGCTCACAGACATCATCTTTATACCTTGAGTCCATTGCCAAAGGCCATATGGATCTTCATTCTTGCACAGTAACCAGCATGCTAATTTTCCAGGGTTAAACTGGTAGCAAAATTCTGCATTCTACATCCCTACTAACCATGTGGACACCTCTTGTTTCAATGACAAGCTATCTGCTGAAAATGGATCATTTAGCAGACCTAAATTTTTCTGGAGTGTCGAAAAGCAACGAACATTGAGCAAATTTTGCATTGCAAACAAATTGACTGACAGAATTCTGACCAGCTAGAGAGCAGGGTCAGCACCATTGCCGCCCTGTCCATGCAATTCTTCATGTACTTACACATGGTAACTGCTCCATTTGTGAGCATCCATCAACTGGCATGTCACAGCAGTTCGGCTGATACCCCCAGCACGACAAAAGGATGAGAACGTTGTTGGATCCAGCGACGATAGGGCATCAATGGAGCGTCGAGTGAGCATTGAGCGAGCGAGCTGATGCTGACATAAGCACGTGCGTGAGGTGTGAGTGGTCAAATATGGTAATTTGGGTTTATTGCAGTTAACTAAAGTCTATTCGAGGGGGTCCGACCCCCCTTACAGATTAAGGTTTATTCAAGGGTATGGACAGGTTGTCCATATGAAATTGGTACAAAATGAAGCTCGGCATCGCGGCACACCTTCCTTATTTGGAACTTTTTATTCAACTTTATGATATTCCAGCATACTTTAGCCCACAGAAAGGCCATCCATTATTGAGACACTCGGCTGACCAGGTACAGTGAGTCACCAGACAACGTTCCAATGAAAGGACGTGATGGTTAGTTATTCGCCTCCCCAAAAACTCGACGGAAGAAAATTGTTCCTTCTCGACTGTTAGTCATTGCTAAGGACCGAAGTTAGCGATCCTAATTCTACCCAATTCCTAGGGTAACATATTCGTATCATTGTCCTTACTACTTGTCCAATACAACTCACAGCATCAATGGGGCAGCTTAAAAGGAGATATGTATGCAAAGAACCTCGCCTAACGATCTGACATCACTCTCCAGCGAACAGGCGTACCAACATATACGTCGTCGATCCAATGAACCGCACGACTGGAGGCACGTGCGCAGAGGGTCAGAAAACAAATTCAAACTTGCATCGAGGATATACGACGTACACGCAAGTCCGACGACTGAAAATAGGATAAATGCCATATAGCCATCTACCGAATTGGACACTTGACCGCTCTCCGGGCTTGGCGTTGCAGATCTGTGGGCAAGTGATGAGCCCGGGATAAATGTTTACGTGGCAGCGAGGACTTACACGACGACTGCTGCTAGCAATGCCTATATGACTCGTCAGGACCGAGCCAACCCTACCAAACTGTCTAACTTACATTGCTCAGTGTCCAAACCAGTAATACCTAAACCTCTGTGAGACAGTGTCTTTCACAACAGAACAACACGTAACCGCTCACATTAGTTCTAAACGTCTTGTAGTAATCCTCTTGCTTCGTAGCAGGGTCGACTTTGCGTTCTTCCTTTGGCGGCTTAGTGGAGAGAACACATATCGCATCCTCGTATGCTGCATTGATATCTGTCTCAGCAGTGGGGACAGCCACTTCAACTTCGTTCTTGTTCTTCCCAACGGAAACAACCCCCAGGTCGGTGGAGACTTTGTTGTCGCCTTTGGTACCCCAGGACACGTCGTGTACGTTGGCAAACTACGGGAAAACTGTGAGACCGGTCTACCACGTAGATTGATTCGTTTTACGCACAGCGTAGACGTTCAAGACTGCAATGTAGGACGGAGCCATCAACAGGTACTGCACGAAGGACGTTATCATGTGCCAAGGTTCAAACTAAGACTATGGTAAGTTCAACTGTCGACGGAACCTAACAGGAAGAGACATACGAAGATAAGCGACGCAGCCACGTAGAGTCCAAGGGTTGCAGCAAGTGACAACACGATATTTCTGAAAATCGAGTTCGAGAAAAGGTCGGTTGCTTTGATAGAGCCGTCTGCAGCTGTCACCTCTTCTATACCTTTAATCGCGAGATAGAGGGCAGAGAACTATTGCTCATCGTTAGGAACACAGCGCTCGTCGTTCGCAGATGTCATGAGGATAGGGGTACGTACGGTCATGTAGATTGTGACGAATCCGAAGCCGATGAAGGCGAGCGTATACCCCCACTTGGATCCCTGGGGACGATTTCCAAGGGAAAGCAGGAAACACATGATAAGCAGTCCAAGGTAAAAGTAGTTAAGAATAAGATTGAGAATGTGCAGCTTTGGCACGTAGCTCTCCAGGGCATTTGAAAGGATAACAAAAGCAATATAATAATTGCCCTTTCAACGACACCGTAAGCCGTGCGAGAAAATGGTGCGAGCAGATGGGGAAACCTACAAGTGCGAACCACGCAAAGATAAGATTGTACAGCTGATAAAACATCTCGACATGTATCCAGAACTTGCGAGCGAAGCCGTGCGAGGAGCGATATAAATAGTGAAAATGGACAAGACTGTGAATGGCAGCGAAGAAGGACCCGTTGAGCCAGCGCCGCCGCTGTGATATCAGCTCCGGAACCTGTGTACATGAATAGACGAGAATCAGAAGACCAGTGTAAGCACCATACCTGGTCGGGCACGTCAGTGACAGCATAAGCTGACTTGACATAGTGCAAGATCCATGAACCTCCTCGCTTCGAGACCAACTCCCAGCACAATATCTACGAACTCGTGAGCACTAATATACTACAGGAACCAGGGATAACTCACCCGATCCTCTGCAAGGTACATATTGGCAGTGAAGATGTCTGCACCGGCCCCATGCATTTTCTCACCCAAAAAGTACTTCTGCAGTGGCCCTTCCCCCGTAGTATCGTTCTGCAGTGCGATATAGCGGTATGCACTGAATGCACCGGGTAGTACGGTGATGTATCCGAAAACACTCTCCAAAGGTTTATCCAGGATATTCGACATCTTGTACTCAAAGTTCTGCGCCGCGACAAGTGGATTGATGAGATACTGCCCGTACTTGCCCTTTAAGGCAACGATCTCCCCACAAGCCCCGCCGACATTCGAGTTAATGTCAAAGGCCTTCCACAGGTGATATATGGATGTGGTACCCGGCATAGTCCCGACGTCAAGGAGCACGCATACATTAGGCTGTAGGATCGGTCCAAAAGCATTAAAGAACCACCGATGGGAGTTAATTTTCTTTTGATTCTGCTCCTTGAGGCAAAATATAACTTGAACTGGCACGATGCCCTTTTCGGCACCCTCGATTTTCATCGAAGGGGATACGGAGACTAAAATAATGAGAATGGGGCAATAAGATGCGAGAAACCTGCGCACTCTGCGTCGTGTACTCATAAATGTGAGCTGTGACTGGTTTGCCGTTCACAATGTTCTGAAGTCATGTTGGAACTCCACGCACAAATGAATGTTGGTCACTCACCTTTGCAATTCCGTCCTGGTAAGCTCCCATTGTTGCGATGACGCTCAGTGTTCGAGAGTTGATCTTCTGTCGACCATCACTAACGATACATACAACCACCTTCTTCCATCCTTCTTTTCCCCATGTTTTACTACGGTCCCGCTTACACAGATGCGCAATGTTTTTCATGACCCCATGCATCGACCTACAGAATAACTCCTCGTCTTCGTTGTACATCGTCATTACAATGAATAGTTCTGTGCGCCGAGGAGGGTCATAGTGTACTTGACGCAGCGTGAAGCCAGAATCTTTGAAATCGTTGGGGTCACATGTCGGCCGCCGAGTATCGCATATGCGTAAACTCCCGTTCATTCCGCAAAGCGCACATGTCCAGCAGTTTCGATGGCACCGCTGAATCTAGTACGAGATTTCCGTGGAACAGTTCAACTTTCTTGAGCGTCTTGTACCGCCGGGGCACCCGCTGAGGGATGCGCCCATAGCGGATATTGGTTTCAGGCTGGTCGTCGAGACCCGCCACTTGCTCATAGCTACCCGGTATCCTGATGCGCTGGTACGGAATTTCCCTCTGGATAAGTGGAATGTCACCCTCTTCGTCGGCTTCAGTTGACAGCTGTGTAGGAAGACCCCCAGTGAGAATCTCTAGGCTGAACGCCATGACCGTATGGATTGGACTGAACACCAAGATAGTCCGTCGTTGGCTGAGACTAACTGCGGGGTCGGAGTATGCACCGGATATGTATCGTGGGGAGCGTACGCGTCGTGCTGAGCCTGGTAGGGATCGTGAGCAGGTGTCGATGAAAACGAGGCTGGTTGAATCTGAGGTGTCGAGAACGGATCCGAGAGGTGGTAAGGCTGACTCGAAGTGTGCTGGTTCTGTTCGTACTGCGTCCCGTACGGGTCATACTGCGATTGCCGCTGGTCGTATGGGTAAGGGCTGTATCCATCGTTGTAATGACCACACTGGGCTTCGTCTGCCTGTGAAGACGTGATTGAATTTCGAGACGGGTCCTCAGCAAGTATCTTTGACTTACCTCTGGGTATCTCGACATTTCGCAGCCGGACACGCTGTTGAGACAATCCTACGGATGGATGTTTGAATGTGAATGAACAAGGCACGGTTTCCTTATTATTGCTTTTACACAAAAAGTACTCGGCCCTTGGCGTGGCGGTGACTGCGGATTCAATAACAATGGACAAGGAAAGCCTTGGACAGCCAACGCCCTTCCGATGTAGGGGTCTTCCATCGCCATATGGCATCGTTACACCGGAGGACCACTGCCCGGCCGCAGGTGAGGCTATGTGAGTCGCTCATGATTGTCTCCACTGGGCGAGAGGTCTCTTCACAGTATGTGTACATACTCCGGACCTTTGATCCCTCTAATAAAGACAGAATATCTGTTCCCTGCCCCTCTTCCATAGACTCGACAGGAAGATAATCGTTCTCTCTCAACTCTTCTTCCCCGCCGACATGCAACAATATTACACCGTCAGATTCGAACACCTCTGATTCATACGACGTCTGCATCTGGAAGATCTACCATAACAGACGTTTGTGATTTGACGTTCACAAGCAGCCAGCAGTTCTCATGGGCACAAGGTTCCTACACATCAAGGATTCCAAGTCCAACGTCCCGACGACAATAGGGACATCTGCTCTAGGGTGTGGAGCTCGGATACCGGGAAGTTAAGACCCATGGTCGAGGTAAAATTTGGTTGTTGTTTGCGGGTTTCCGCAGTTGCTGCGCCCATCCTTAGTTATGCAAGGAGGGCGTTATAACCCTTTATATGCAGACACGGAAAGCCAACTCCACCAGTGGCTATCCTAGATAGTCCGCAGTCAGTGTAAAATCTTGGTAACGTCTATTTTGAAGACCTACTATGAGGCACAGATTGTTGCGCGGCTCTTGCTACTGTTGCAAGGTATTCCTCCTTACTATTAGGACGGCCGGACGTACAACATACAGGCCACTGGGACCAGTGCCCGGATCGATTCTCCGATGGTTCACGTTCACATCCGGCAACACGGGTATCCGAATGCATTTATCAAGTAGCGTGGTATCTGAAACGTGTCGTTTAGTGTTTTCATAGTTATCCCAACACAGAGTCTACCGGGCGATCCGTTTCTGACACTGATTGTAACTGTGCAATCTATCGTGAAATGGTCGTGCCGACAGTTACTACCCCAGAAGTTTTCCTCTAGGATGACATCTCAAAGCTCGCGATGGCGGTTGACGAAACCCGGAGTCTCATTTGAAACATTTCCACGACCCTCTCAATGTTTTACGTTAGGTAGGCGATCAGTGCTCATCAGCAGCACGGGGCTCCGCAGTGGCAAGATTGGGTTTATTACAGCTGAGCCATACGTCGGCGACAGTATTACACGGGACAACACTTATAATTCCATTACAACCTTCTTCACAATCCACTCCTGCTGATCTTGGTTTGACATTACGACGGGCACCTTGATCTGACCAATACCGGCTTTCATTGACTCACTCCGCCACAACCGATATTCCGCAAAGGTCCCAGGCTTGACGATCCGAATCGTTGGCAGACGAAGTCGTCCTGTGTCAAATGCACATTGATGCTCATCGTTTGTAGCTGCGAGCGCATCGAAGGCATTTTGTCTTGCTAAATTGGCGCTCGGGCCTAATTTGTATCGTGGTGAATTGGAACAAGGTGGCCCGAACAATGCGGCAGCTTACCAATGTCGCCCACGATTTCGAGGAAAAAGCCCACCGTCTGCGGAAGCTCGCGGCGGTCGACGACGGCTGTAAATTCCTGTACTTTCACGATATCTTCTGTATTGATCGCCCGAATCACATCGACGAGATGTGCCTCGGTAATCGCAGCATATGGGAAGCGGATCACCAGGCTACGTGCGTATCAGACACCTGTACGTTCCATCAAAATAAACGTCTAACGTCCTCACTTTTTGCGTCCGTAGAACTTGAATACCGGCGAACCGTTTCGAGGGTCGAACCCAGTGACCTGGATAATATCGTCTATGAGGTACCTCCATAACCCATCTTGGGTCGTAGCCACAGGTTGGTAGCACTTGCCCGGTTGTAGGTCCCACTTCCAAAAATATACGTCAGCCGGTGCGCGGCAGAACAGAGGCATCGAAAAACGCACAGCCTGAAGTATCTTATCATGTACCAAGGTCTCCGAAGCATCAAGAAATTCGATGACATCTCCCGTTTCGAAGACAAACGTCTCGGTATCGTCGGCGTTGAGCATTCTCCCCATTATGCACTCTGTGCACCCATATCCCACGTTTTGAATAAGAACATTCGGTCCGAGTACTGATCTTGCCTGTCTTGAATGAGCTGAACTGCGTCACCAGACGTGACACATAGGAGCCGTTACCTTGGGTATTACCGTGGCGAATGTACCGCTACATATGCATACGAGGGTCTTCAGATTCGGCCAAACGCGTTGTGCCCATGCAGGACAAGTCAGAGGGGGTCCTATGTTTTGAAGTTCCTCTGCTCGTTGTGGGCTCGCCCGAAAGTTCGCTTGCAAATATGCTCGGACGTGGTCGATGTGTTCGATTTGGGGAATGGTCCCATCCCGCACACTGGTGATGAGCACGTCCCAGTCTTCGTGGATGTGGTGGATGAGGTCGACGAAGAAAGTTAGGAATGTCATGACGAATCTTTCAAGTGTTGGCTCCGAGAGTGCGAACAGCGCGTGGATCAGAAGAAAAGAGCGGTGGTGGGTGATGAACCCTGCTGCCCATGGTGAAACGTGACCTGGCACTATACTGCACGTTAGCGATACTAAATTACGCCACATGAACCGATTCGACCTTACTTATAGTCCCCATACGACTGCTATCTGTCTCCACGGACCAGTTCTCTGCATCACGCACTCCGCCGCATGTCCCAATACACACAGGGATTTTCTTCATCACCTTCCCATCCTTCCCCATGATTTCTAATAAGTCTCGATAGGTAAAACAAAAAATAAACGCAGCCTTCCTTGCGTCGGTTGAGTGCAGGAACCTAGCCAATGACGAGGGCGTATTGAAGCACCCACGAGGATACTTTGCAAAGAGCTTCGATTTGTTTCCTGTGGTGGAACTGGATATGCCAATGAAACTTGGGAAACCAGGTGCCAGTAAATTTTCGAGGTCAGACTGTTTGCGTGGGTGGTTGAAGAATTTGGCTACGAAAGGGCTGTAAGACTCGTAGTTCGTAACCGGGACGACTCGGCGGAAGTCGATAACAACCGAAGGGTCTTCTTTCACATCCTTGCCTGCGATGGCCTGATGGAAGTGGGAAAGGGAGACGGCGGAAGTACCATACTGGGTGGTGATGTTGGCCCCTACTATATCCCTCAGACGGTGCTCAACACGTTCTTGGAGGGCAGCCTTGAGCCCGGGAGACAAGGACAAAAGGGGGTGTACCGTGGAGGTGGACATCAGCGAAGACTGTAGCTCTGTGCTTGGGAAACAGCTGGGCAATCAATAGCGCGCAAATTGGAGGTCCCAAAAAGTCCTCATGCGCTCCTGTAGTTTTGTTGGGTGTATCCATTTGTCAAGGCTGTCACGCCTGTCGATCGGCAACTAGTTCACGAGGTCTGCATCCGAATAACGAACCCAACCATTATCACAGATGGTGACTTGCGTGCATCACGAGCGATATACGAGATTCCACGTAATCCTCCTAACAGCATAGTTAGTCGCAATTTACCTGAGGAAGCTGGTTGTCTTCGGAATCGGGTTTGTATTACGGGACTGGGATGAGTAAATAATGTGAGATCCGGAACGAGCTTACCTGTAGCACATTGAAACATGCTTCCCCATGAATACGCCAGTGGAGACGGTGAAACTGACAACTGAGACACGTCCGACTCGGACTAATACCGTTACTTCAAGTTAATGTAATTAGTACAAATGATAGGGGTCATTGATGGTGTCACGTGATCAAAACACTCATTCGCTTGTGGGTTCGAGTCCGCACCTTGAAATGTCTTTCCAGCCGCAAGCCCATCCAGATCCGCCATGCCTGCGTTTCCCAGAGAACCTGGGATTACATGCCGCAGTAAACATAGAAGCTGCGGTAAATATGCTCCTTAGAGCGGTTCAGATGTCCCAGAACGTCCCCTACATGTGGACATTCATAGACAAGCCAGCCGGTGCGTCATTCAGACCCACTTCATAGACAACGAACGCCGACCTAATGATCGTTTCTTCTACAGAAGGACAACTTTTCTTACTATATCTTCAAAATCCGGCACAGTTTCCCAACGACGGTATTCGATATCAGGATCAAGAAAGCCGCTATGTTATACCTGCCGGCAATCGGGTACGTCCTATCCTCGCGGTTTAGGTGTTCGCTCATCCTACGCTTTATCTCAGGAAATGGAAGTCTCAGAGATCAAGCACGGCTTTGTGCCTAATTCTCCGGACACAACTGCTTGGCGCCTGCGGCGGCGCTACCGTCTGCATAGAGGAGGCCACCCCCAGCTTGTGCTCGTGCACTACACGCGCGGGCCCCCCATACGTGAGCCCATTTTATCATCGTCGCCGCATCGTAATTTACGGTGACTCCACTCTCTTACGCCCGAGCAGAAATCGTCCCGTCACTACTCAATTCTCCCGTACGCCAATACCCTCTCCGTCAAATCACCGAACCGTCCGTATATATTATGGGTGATAAGGCGGGCCAAAAAGTGTATCCGCCTGGATCTGCACCTCCGCCGCCCCCTCAAGCACCAATGGGAATGCCGCCACATCCCATGAGCATGAATCAGCAGGGTGTGAATCCTCCGGTAGTCAGCATAAACGCTCCAGGGATGGGGATGAACGCGCAAGCAATGCTCGCGCAGCAGAACAGTGTTATGGAAGCACTCGAGAGAAGGCGAGAACGGGAACGACCCAGAGAGCGAGGTGGTAGTATGAGTGGTAGTGTAAGACCGTCTTTTCAATCCACAAAGCGAATTACCTCAGCTGATCGTGGAGCAGCGCCCTGGTCCGCCTCGGTTGGACGACGATGATTCGGCAGGTGAGGAAATATAGTGATCACGATGTCATTGTTCATTCACGGATCTTTAGATGAAACCGAAACAATATCTACTCGTACGCTGGCCATAACCAGGTACCGACGTAACCATGAACTCATGGAAGAGGTGTTCAAACAAGCTGCATTTGGCACGCGTTCACATTTACCTTCCCCTAAATCGTCTTGCTCATTACCACACAGGTAACGTGAAGCGACCCGCACCACAAACCGCATATTCGATATTCGACAAATCAGAACTAGAAGCCAAAGTGGTGCGTACAAAGCGTATTTTCTGGGGTCGATGTCATTGAGATTCCCTTCGATAGAACAAGCTACAAGAGGAAGTTGACGCGTTGCGGGCGAAGGCCGTGGAGCGCAAGACGCGCTTAGTATCTGAAGATGTCATTGCCGTTAACGCGCCGAGTCCCATGGAGATTGCCCCATGACATGTTTGCAATGTACATTTCATAATGCGAGACATGCAATAATGCTGTAGGGTCACCCCCAAGCAGGTTCGCTGGCTTCCTGCAGATCACGGGATTATGGTCACTTGCGCTTCATGGGACCTAATATTAAGTTTTTCGTCATTTCGTTCTTCGCCATCCAGTGACCATGCAGACTGGATCCCCAGAGACACCATAGATACCCACACATGAAGACTAGTTATGCACAGTAGTGTACAGCTCGTGTCATCACGATTCGTCCAACGACTGCTCATCGCGCTCATCTACTGGAACATCCGTTGACCATACTCGAACTACTCCACTATGGCTACCAGTGGCAAACATTGTGGTCTTCAAATCCTTCAGCCCACGGTTCCACCCGATACACGTCAGGTCACCCCTCGTAACATGTGGAGCTATGAAATGGAGAAGTGCAGCGGAATCTCGGTCCCAGATATGTATATCCCCGGCTAAAATAAAATGTGTCACGACACCACCCACGGTAGATAAACCATCGAAATGGACGAACTTTTTCCGGCACACACCACAAATTGGTCGTCGCAACCTCCGAAACAGCAGGACCCTACATATTCGACTGGGATCTTGGTCGCGAAGGTGTGTTTCAGGGTCATGCGGGAGGTGGTACAATCGCGATCCCGGTCCTTAACGATCTCCAGTCTCCATATTTGAGGAGGTGCCTGACGAGCGCGGAATGAAAAATATGTCTCGGGCGAGTTCTGTACCGACCTTCTCCAGTGAAAGAAGTATGAGGGAGGTCTTCCTTGCCATGGTGATGTCGCGGATATCATCAGCCAAAGGCGTTTGACTGAGGGTCTGGTCGGCGACGTTAAACCACTACTCAATACGCAACACACCTTTCTTTCGTCTTCGTGACCATGTTATATACTAGCGGAACGGGTAACAGTCAGCACTGCGCAGTGAGGTAACAGTTCCAGTACCCTACCAATAATTCTCTTCTCCACTCTGATATGGTAGCTGGGGTGTGGACCCTCTTCCGGGGTGATAGAAGGCCCCACCCCTACCAACCGAACACAATCCTGAGTTACTGCGACGCCACACAACTGTATTTGACCAAGGTTGTAGGTATCCGAGACCTAAAGAAGCGACTATGAGGAAATCGAACCAGGTATGAGGTAGGCGTCACTCTTTACCGTTCCCTCTATAAGATTCTAGAAACAAACGTCGTCAGTAGGGTAGACAACCAGGGTGCCTCCACGCACTAATCTCACGACATCGCTGCCTTCCACAGATAAGAAACCTAACTACAGTCGTTACTAACATGGCTGTACACCCAATAAATGGGGCTTACCTTCACCATTCGGAAGCCAGGCAACAGATTGGATAGGTTGTTCTCGAACAATTGATCTCATGCATATACCATCCTGGCAAGTGTATCAATATACAAGCTCACAGCACGGAGATGCGTAGTACCTCTGACCACACTCTTAAAGCGCGGGGAAGCCGAACTAAGATTGCCTGGCCGTTTGGAGACCTACCCCATTATTCGCGGAAGCAGGATGCAACAGAACATTGTCACCTACCAAGCAACCTGAGCAATAAGACCTCTTCCATTGAACAGAACACGGTGGGCAGTCAATTCTCCGGACCTTGCTACCCGGAACAATACTGATTTCTTGTCCCATCTAGAAGGGATATCGGTCTTACTGTTAAGTGAAGAACGGGAACCAGTTCCTCACCCTGCCGTTGCCAAGAACTTCCCATTCGGCGAGAACTGGAGATGACGCACTAAAGCCTGATGTGCAACCTGATCCTGCATCGGAGCAAGCATATCCCATTTCACGGAGCCGTTCATCGCACGGCCGGACATCCCGAATTCCGCAATCTCCAGCGCAGGGCTCCTTGGGCGCGAAGCAGCCCCAAGCATAATCACCGTGCGGACGGCATTCACGAAACGTTGTCTGGCATCAACACCACCAAGCGTGATGTTCCTATCACTGCACTGGTCAGATAACACAGACGGTGCCACGGATGCCGAGGAGGAAATGGGCGCATCGTGACATGCAAAGGACCGCTTGGGTTCCCGAAACTCGGTGTGATGGGATGACGTCGGACAAGGGTGACGAAAAGGTTGAGGTTGATCTGGCTGATTATGAAGTGGCAGAACGGCATCTTCACGAAACATAGTTACGTGGATTGCCCGTAATAATCGCCAGAACAGTACTTGCATGGACAGAAAGCATGTGTTGCACCATTTGATGGTGATCCTCGTGCCTCTGACGATGCGGAGGTTGGCAACCCTTGCCGTAAATTCAGCAATGACGTCTCCGAGCCATTTTTGACCACTATGGCGGACGAATATCCATCGCTCAGAAGCGAACCAGGCGGACACCGCGGCAAGTCCAAAGGATGTGATAACCTGTTGAAAAGTAAGGGCATACGTAGCTAGGACAGAAAAGGAAACCTTGCCGTTAGAACTGTGATTATGGTTGAGGTGACAGACCCCTGCGGGATGTGAACCAATACAGCCAGGAACTACCACAGAATACTCATACCTGACCAGAGGAATACGTGAAAAGCATAAGTCCTGCGGAGAACGACGCAATAGACATCACGAGGAAAACGAGCGGGGATCGTTTGATCCATATTGATACCCACCATGGCACTCTGTGTCCAGGAGAGCGGCTCGACCGCGAAGTTAGTAATGGAGCGAGGTAAGGAAAAATTAACATACTACATGGCCTTCTTCCAGGTGAGTCCGAGGAGACTATTCACTGCTGCTGCAATACTGAAAACCAAGGACGAGAACCAGAGGGTGTTCACAACATTGGCTAGTTTACCACCGGTCGTTGAATACGAGAATTGCAAAGTTGTTGCAGTCACGCCAGAAAAGAATGTGGCTACGGTAGACAGGTTTAGCAGATTAGCGGCCGCATGTTGCTGGTGAGAACTAATCGTCGGAACACCTGAACAACATCATTGATAAGCGCGACATACACGCCTTCCCGGAACGCACCGATTTCTATGAACATGGCCAATGTCACCGTGACATTGTCGATGTGATAGCCGATCTCACTAGTCAAGTCGTGTACATAGCGTTGCACGGCGGCGGACCGAAATTGGTCTGAAAAAGGGTTAGAGCTCCGTAAGGGAAACGCGCCGCAGAGAATCTGACTTGTGTACTCGTTGAGGTGGGTAGCCCAGTACTGAATTGATGGCGTAGTTATCACTCGAGTGCAAGCCGCCGATACTGTGGTGGCTAAAGTTACTCACCCGCAGGTTCCCTTCGAACTCCATCATGGACTGATTAACAGCTACATCATCGAATTCCGGGAATTCATTGAGGCACTTGACGAAATTCTTCACGTCGTCGGCAAAGTTCTCTAAATGGTATGGTAATGTATCCGGTTGTAAATTATCATCAAGAGGGAGAGGACGACGCCTCCGCCAAGCAGCACGACGCCTCTCGCCGTCCATAGCATCTGGATTGAGAAGTGCCTCGCGAGAGTGGCGAATAACCCGACGTGGAAACAAAGAGGCAGCATTCTCCCGGATGAGGAACAGGATATTCGTGAGGCGTTTCCGTAGTTTGGAAGCTGAAGAAAGGATGCCAACGGAACTCCCAAGATGGCGAGCCGCATTTTCGAAGTTACATAACTAACAGAGGAAGTCAGTTTGCGAGCCCCGAAAGGAAGCACCACCCACTTCTATGTCTAAGTTTTCCACCTGTCTTTGAAATTGCTGAGTGCGTCACGTCAACGAGGATGAACGTCTTACTTTTGGAACTTGAAAAATCGATCTGCGCCTGCTGCCTGCTGCTTGACATCCTTCGATACTGTTGCTACATGTCGTGGTTAGCAGGTTCAAAGGCAGTCGCTATCTAAGCCTACGCAAGTCATCATCTGGAGCGGGTTGCGACATGGCGTCTAGAGGAACGTCAACTCCAGCTCTGCGGATGGGGGGAGTGGCCGACGTACCAGTGTCCAGCTCTTCATCGTTGCTCAGCTCTGCCAGTTGGTCGAGCAGACTAAGTAATATTTGCTTCCGTTTCCGACTCCAGTCCGCATCCAAGTGGGAAGAGTAGCCCCCTGCATTTCGTGCTGTACATGCCAACTTTATTCAAGCGATCCAGGAGCTCGACCGTTTTCTTCCTTACCTCGATGCATATATGTTGAAATGTTATTTGGAAGGTGAATCAGTTCTAGAATCGAAGAAGTGCGTTAAGACGGATGGTTTTTAATACCGCAACAGCCGTCAGTCTGCCAGTAAAAGTGTCAGGAACCAGGGAGGATTACCCAACCTATAAGTATTAGATCCCATTGCGCACTTTCAGACTTGTGTACCACGTTGTTTGACTGCAAGCGGACAGATCCAGCCCTTTCTGGGCGCTCGAGGAAACGTGCCACCGGATGTATGCAGCATTCCCCACACACGTAACCGTTTCCCGAAGATATGCAATTCTTTTTCGCTTCGGCTTTCCTGGCGCTCTTTAATGCCAGTCCATTCTAAACCACCGCGAGTCCATATGACGTGAAATCGTGTACTTCGTCTGCAGAATCATATGGTTATGAGCTCATGTAATACTGTCCAACGCGCGATATGGAAGAGAAGATTATGCCAAGTGGAGTGGAGGAATGGAAAGGTGATTTTAACTCCGGCAAGGACAAGGCCCGGTGTGGTGAGAACTGAGGAGTATATTATTTAATGGTGCATGGAAAAGCACATGCACACATACACACCATCGACACGATGTTTCCCGACCCTGCCTAGGAAAGACAAAGGGGTAACGGAACGGACGAACTGGATCGCTCCCTTGATATCATTGGTTTGAGTGACTCCGGACCCGAACGAATCGGCTGCTGTGTGCCAGTATATCGCACGTGTAGTCTCCAAAAGCGAATTCTGCCAACGCGCAGCGCACCCATTCATTCCACAGTCAACAATGAGGTATACATACCATGAGATCCAAAATCGGCGGGAACGCAGACAAAACCCTATGAAAGACTGCGTGAATTAATGGGTCGTTGGAGTAACGGCTACCCGCATGCTGGCAATGACAAGTCCGTATGGTGTTATCGTGTGCCATTCGGATCAGGGCTGCAAGCCTTAGCGCCTGGCTGCATATGTAACCTGGTAACGTGGGTGTGATCCTAGGATAAAACTTGGGTAACTTACTGTCATCCCAGATAGGATTACGTGGAACATGTTCGAATCACTGGTCCTCGAAACTTGAATATGGAACTGAAGATGATATTGTATCCGGAGATTCGGAGATATATACTAGCGGCTCATGAGTTGACTTGCAACTTCCAAGAATACGGAGGGTCTTCTTGGCACATTGAATGGTCGTGTTCTCATTGTCGCGGACCTTTCGGCGAGTACTTAGTCTTAGTCTCCAGCACGATGATCTCTGCAGGCGACTTGTCGGCATGTCACTCGAGAACGCGGCAACCTGCCATCAAACCCCTTGAGCATCAGGTTTATCATATGACATTAGCAACAAAATGACTGGTGCGTGGAGGATCTGGTTGTTGCCTGTAGCACCACTGGCTCGGATCCCAGATCCCCTCAGTTGTCCGTTCATCTTGCCTTCGGACTACGGACTTGCGATACAATGAGTGACACCCATTATCAGCTAACGTACTCCGGAGCCACGTTTGGACATCATTGTCCATGATATTCTCATAAGTCTCAGATAATGAGTGTACAAGCTGGTTAAGGCATGGCAATCAGCGCAGAGGCATATCCGGTGGACGGGAATGAATGAAGCGTCTTAACTACCGAGGCAGGCTGACTTCGGAAAAGTCATGGGTCAAGGGCACATCAGGACCCTTGCTTACCATCGGCCACCCATCAAATAGATGGCAATATGCACCCTGGTTCTTGGTGAACCAGTCAGAGGTGGAGTATGTCCACAAATCACCGACTGCCAGAGGTTATTTATGGTGCTCGCGACCGAGCATCCGCCGTCTACACATCTCTCAGTGGTGCCACGATGATGACGCTGACACTGTCCGCAAAAAAATTGACTTCGAGACTGCACTCGATAAGACTATAAACCGCGTCACTTACTCTGTATTTTCCCATTGTGTCTAGGATGGCTCAGCAAAGGCATTCGTGGCAGTTGCACAATCCAGATGTAGTTACTCGCACACCTATATTGGGCGATACGGCCAGAGGCACCAAATGCGTGAGAGCAAATACATTTCTGAGGGCAAGTGGAATCGTGCCCTTGGAATGCCCAGAATTTAATATAAATGAATATGACTTGCATTCATGTTAAAAGCAATCCACATCCCAGTGTCTAGACAATGTGTGTGCAAGGCAACTACACCCGGATAGAAGTCGCCTCCTTCTGGGCCAACGAATGGAGATCTTGTTCTGGGATTTAAAAAAAGGACACCCTGAGATCTGCTGTCGCGTCATTATGGCACTATCCACTCACGCATACCCCAAACATGGGATCGAAGATCGAGAAATTCTTCGTCGCGCGTCGAGTAAGGCAAAAATAGACTACTGCAGAGGTGTTACTCACCGATGTGAAGACCATCATACACTTTCTTTAGTTCCGCGCGTACTCTAGCTAAATCATCTTGACTTGCAGAACGTTGCGAGAGTGCCTTCAAGTCCTTCTCAACGGCTTCTATTCGTCGCACATGTGCTGATACCTAGCGACAACAACACGAGTCAGCAGTCAGATATGAGTAGGATGTACTTGTGCTAGCGATCACCTTCTCTGTGCTAGTTCGCAACTCCTCTACGCTAGTTTGGAGAGCTGCCGAAGCGGCCTTGTACTCGTCCAGTAAATGGTAAGCGGCAAATGCGGAAGCTAGCGAAAAGCCGAACAAAAATCCAATCAAGCTAACAATCTATATGATCAGCATGGATTAAATAGCACTTGTTAGATAGATACAAACCCTCCACGGAAGCCGCCAATTGGCTTCTTGGGCCTTGCCACTGTTCCAAGGTTGGGAGAAGTCGAAGTCTCCTCACGCAGCACCTGTGAAGTTGATAGGTATCGCGATGCCGTGCACTTAGATATTTTTCGTGTCAGTGGAAGGCTACGCAGCATGGCGGTCGTCGCTTGGGTAGTACCGTTAATAACAACTTGTGTACGTCCTCTGGAACGAGTAGCCCTCACACGGCCTTCCCGGCTAACCCCGCACTAATCTACCATGGGTGGCTGTGTAGAAAGCCCCTACTAAGACAGGTTCAGGATGCGCAACGAAGGCTCTTGTTGAACATGCGCTGATCGCTCTTTTTGTTAGAAGGTACGTTGGAAAAAACAAAGACGGACAACAAGTTCGATGAACGCTGCTTTCACATATCTGACACGCTAGTCCAGTGAATACCAAGTGCCTGATAAATCTCTGATTGTCATGTTTTTCGAGTTAGCCTCGACGAAGACGCACCTATCCCGTAACTCTGGTCCTCTATGAGTCTTTAGTCCATAATTCCTGGTTGTTAACCTTGGCTAACACCCGATTTGTGCGGGTCCCTGTGAGGGAGAACATCGCCATATTATTATACGTATTGTATAGAGAGATCAAGAAAAGGAGAAACGATGAAGCAAGCCGCCTAACGACGTGTAAAGTGAGTCGTGTTCGTTCAAAGTTTCAGGTGTAAAATGTCATGAAGGGAAGACTTGTAAGCCGAACTCGTTTGATCTCGCTCAGCTTGTAGGGATATTTTGAGTGCAAAGGAATCGGTTTTAGATTAACCATCAACCATTCATATGCTTGATGCTTGGTTCATGGATCATACATCATGACCAAACAGATGCCTCGTTCGCATGTCTCTGGGGGGATTTTAGCGCAACCATATACGAAATTTCGCTTGCACAGAATCTGTAGGTTAGTCGATTCGATAGGGGCGTGGCTATAAACAGAAAGCGAAATCTCCGAGCATTCGTCGTGTGAACTTGTCGCGACGATTGTCTTGTTTCAATCACCAGAAACTTTGTCAAGTCGCGTTGCATTATGCCCCCGAAACGCAAGGGAGACGAAGTCGACGAGCTCAATGCTCGAGAACGGAAGAAGCTTAAAGTTGCTGATGCGCGCACCATAGCAGTTCAGCCAGTCGCGTCTGGGAGCTCGAGTGGTCAGGGAGACCATGCCACCAATGCCAGGCCGGGTCCTTCGAAGATTAATATAAACTTCGATTGTACGTCCTTTTATTTCACTTCGCTGATCATGGCTGAACCGCCGTGCAGCGATGAAGGGCTTGCCGGCTACGTTGGACGTCGAGAGGTTCACAGAAGTAAGGTGGTCTCAAACAAAACATGGTAACAATCTCACTCATAGAATTGCCAACAGGCGCGGGCGTACGAGATTGACGCGATGGAAAAGGCGATAAAATCAGCCAAGTAACCCAACGCAACTTCTTTGCGGACGACACCACTAACTGCATCTCCAGGGACAGCTCAACGCATCGCGCATGGCAAACACTTCCCCGACACCTCAGGCGTCGCGCTGCCAGCCATAACGTTCGACGTGTACCCCTACGCCTCAGAGAGAAGGCGCGTGCGGAAGCAAGTATTGTGACGCGACTAGTCCATCCCGGGTCGCTGATACTGTAAATACTACAGATGGACCCTGTCAAACACAAAGCTCACAGCGGCGCTCGCCCGAAGAGAGGCAAAGCGAAGCAGATGACTCGAACCGAGTCCCTATTGAAGCGACAATGCACATGAGTGATCTCTTTGACCGTTTAACCTATGCCTTACAATCTTTAATGTTAGGTGACAAAGCGTGGCTAGAAACTCATATATGGCATGCCAAGCGCACAAAGATGGAGAACATGTGGGGTTATAGACTGGTTCGTTTTTCCCTTTGAAACCATTGACTGTATTATCAATCCGCCTTCTCCAGTCAGTCACACCAACGGAAAAAGCCTTCCGACCCTCTCATCGTGCCTCCGTACATGGCTCCATTTTACATGATGCATCCTATTATGGCACGATCGAGCTTAAGGGACCCCAGTCCGTCCTTTTAACCGCTCTGGAGACGTGCTGTGATCCGCAGGGCTCCGGCCTTAAGCAGTTAGTCGTTTCGTGATTGCCCTTACTGGAGAGGTTTCTTACAGTATCCGTAGATGCACATCAGGAAGTCGTACTTGTGACACTCACATGTATGAGCATGCCCGGTGGCCTTTTGGTCTCATTGGGCCCGTCACGATTATTTGGCAGCCACTCGCCCTAGATTCCACAGCTAGCGAAACTCAGACTGAGACTAAAAGTAGCAGAAAGGGGAAAGGAAAAGGCAAACAGAAGGAAACAAACGACAACGCAGCCTCCGACCCGTCACCTCACGCGAGGGTCTTGTGGGTGCGCGCTCATCCTGCTGTATTCGAAGATGTCTTCGAAGCGTTGAAGAGATCAGCTGCGCATGCATTGCAGGGTGAATAAATCTAACAATCCGACTGTGTCATTTCAAGTCGAGATGAACGACTTGAGGGGAGTCATCAACGCATTCGAGGTCATGGGCCCTAAGTCTAGTCAGATCATCAAAGGGGCTTTGTCTCTCGCTGGGGACGATGAACGGGAGGATTTTAACAAGGTAGGCTAAGATCTGCCTTTAGGCTGATTCTTCCTTGCTTGAACGACATAGTTCTGGAAGTCGCTGTCCGATTTGCAAACACCGGGCAACGTTCCACGACGGATGATCATTGGCTTAAAAGTGGTTGATCCACGTCTGAAGTATGTCAGTGTGTGTCACCGTCTTCCGCGAATCTCAACTTCCTGTCTCTAGGTTTCCTCCGGAGAACCCCAAACCTTCGTATCCTGATATATCCAAGTCATCCGCGGCTCCTGCAAGCGGCCTCGTTTTCCCAACATCGTCAACAGCTCAATCTGATATTTGGGATGAAAACCAGAGGGACAGGCTGAAGAAGCCTAAGTACAAGAAAAAAGACCTTGATGAACGTCGTTCGAAGGTCAGGAGAAGGTTGTCCTTGCTTAGACGCACCACTTATTCACCTTCATTCATGCCAGCTTGCCATTCCCGGTACAAAATTACGTGCCCTCCGCCAGGACGATCGGATTCCAGTCATGCTAGTGCAACGTTCCCTTGAAGCATACCCTCCGTCTTCCCCTTCACCCTCCACACTTGATAAAGCTCAAGGAATTCACGGATGGACGCTTTTATTTCCAGCTGGGTGGTCTATGGCTTTCTTACCGTCTCTTATCTATACGGGAACGCGTGTTGCGGGACAGCGCGAACGGACGAAACAGTATTTCGAAGCAGGGATTGCTGCTTTCCCTGTGGATTATCCCACCACCCGTGCGTGTGAGGTTGCATCGGAAGAACGTGCTATCCAGGAAAGAGAACGGTGGGAAAGGACGCCACCTGCGAAGAGAACGAACTGGGAGAAACTTGGTACTAGGGAGTCCATGGTGCGCAGATTGGGATGTCGTTCTTGGGTTGGAGCCACTGCCGCCGGAAGTGGGTACGGCAGAGGGGTTAGTGAACACCCAGCGAGAGGATCTCTCCGCCGCAGAAGAGGTGCGACCTGTTCTTGCCAAGACCTCCGTTCGTCCTTGGCTTTTGCGAGGGCCTAAGGTTCCTTCTATCCTTTCCGACGTTTCACTCGACCCTCCGGAGTTTTTGGAGCGGATTAACAAACTACGTGAAAGGCATCATATGGTTCCATTAGACAGGGACGTGGATGCAGCACAGTTGTGGCAAACGGCGCTTGTCATGGTACGTATAAAGATGGTCGGAAGGGGCGTGCCGAGCGACCTCGCGGGCATATACAAAATGGATGATATCGAAGCAAGGAAGTGGCTTGCAGCCATACGTCAGAGTACTTCTGTCGGAACTGATGACGCTGAAACGCAAACTGAAGATGGGGTACGTGCTTGTCAGTTCATTGATATACACGACTGTGAGTTCTTGGAACTGCAGCTAGGGGATATTCGGCCAGCGCAGGAAGATATCATTGGATATGTTACTACTGGAGACGCATCGCTATCACGTGGTGAAGGCTTTGCCTTGGGTGCGATCTCCGTTGTTCAATATTTGACTCTTCGCAGGCAGGCACAGCGGTAGGTGACCATTCGTATGTCGACGTTCGGTGCTAATGGTTGTCATAGGCTAGCTCAGCCGGCTGTGATAGTAAAATTTCGTAATAGGGATTCTACGGTGTCGCGAGCTGCTTATCTTGAGTTACTGGACGCGTAGATCGACTGTAGACTGCATTGCTAGTCACCTCTGACATCATGATCACGTGGATGTAATACGTGTAGATGTACCGTGGCCAGTCACGTGTCGACCATCATTGTGGCTCCAATTTTCTTTGGCAGCATTGAACTCCTAGCTGAGCTGACGGGGTTGTTACATTTTTTCTTCGCGGCAACTTAGCAGAGTTGGAAAGGTAACCAAGAATTGACATACGAAGGTCGGTGCGATAGAGAAGTCGTGCTTTCATTGTGTCCAGCACGTTGGGAGGAGAGCTGCGTATGAAGGTTCTCGGCAATGGCTTTCTATTCCCCAGTGTCGGCCGGTGGCGCGTCGTTCGATCATTTCGGAATCCCAACCTTGTGCACGCATTCCGGGGTGTCTACCGTTCTGTCACTACCGTTTGTTCGAGGTCGATCGCTTCTGCATGTTCGGGAGGCAGCCTTATTACCCGGCTCAGTGCCCATAGCCCCCCTCCCATCACAGGATTCGAAACGAGACAATCGTACAAGGCAAAGGCACCCGGTGCACATACCAAACCTCGTAGAGAGAGAAAAAGACAGAAGCGGCGAACGCCGAGAAAACCGAAGGTTTCGCAAGTAGTCAAGCTTCATATGCAACGACGAGAAGCACTACGTTCCGCCCTGCTTCGGAATCTCCAAGCCGGGGCGCGTATTCATTCCAACCTTCAATCTGTGACATCTACACCGAGGAGTCGGAGTGACCCACACAACGTAAAAGGAGGCACGGAGCAGGCTTCCTCGACCTTGGAGACGTGCAGCGCTATCGACCAAGAGGGAAGTGGATTCAAACCAGACGAGTGGTCCACTGGGTGGGGAAGTGATGGTACGTCAACTGGTATCTTACGACATTGTGGATGTCTGAGGTAAACCGAAAGGACTGGCACCTCCCACAACCCTACAGGACACACCAATGGCTGCCAGGCGTCGACTACCGCCACACTTACAAGCTCGAATATATTCTCGGAGGACGGAGGGTTTTCTTCACGACGAGCCTCGCGTTGGACGCGTAGGGCCATCCAGTTATCTTCAAGGTCAGCTAGCTCAGTACTTGTGTTGCTATAAAATTAACTTTTCACAGATGTCAAGTCTCCTTCGGAACATAAACCCATTTCTCAGCTGGCGCACGGGCTTAGTCGTGTTCTGTTCAAGTTCGTTTTCTCTTTCATTAGTTCGGAAAGTGAATGACGTAGCGCTGGTGGGTAGTCCGGGCGTACATTGGTTGCAAGACCCAAGATCACGGGTGTACAATTTCACGCCGTGGTTGGAAACCATACCCAAAGTGAACGATTTTGCTTTTGACCGTGTCACCGGTTTCGTGAGAAGCTCTCAGGATAACGTATGTAGCTACCGCGCTACTTTGCAATTTCTTCGAAATTAAACGCATGCTATAGGACTTACAAATTCTAGCCAAGCAACACAACCGCCCCTTCGTAGGCTCTACTTCCTCTCTTACAGGTCTCTTAAGTCACGTGTACTTTCTTGTATCTGGCGACCGGGCAGTCGACACCAGTCCGCTGAGCCGTGCATTCGCTGACGAGGTATATAACAAGTCTCATTTTACTTTATTTCTCCTTTGTGGGGCTGACATCAATTCGGTATCATGATGCAGGCCACCACATTCACACCTGGTCAGCGCATGCCCACGTCGGTGATCCTTAATTATGATGACGGCGTATGGTCGATTGACTCGGACAAGGCTAATATAATTGCCGAAAAAAACGTCTTGACTTGGATGGTACGACTAGCTTATCGACCCTCCCCAAATCTTCTCTCAGTTAGGTCCTATCATTGATAGGGAACGATGCTTGAAAAATTTCTCGTCCTTCCGGAACCAGAGTTCAAGAAACTTCTTCGTTCTTCGCCGGAGCCCCCAGATGACAATGATTCACGGAGGGAAGCGTACCGCTATGCCATGGTGAGCTTGTTTCTCGACTGATGGTCGAACTGCCCTCGTGAATACTTTGCGTAGTCTGACAGCTTCATCATGCGGTCTCAACTCGATTGCATAGACTCACGATTACCAGGCACCGGTGTGTTTGATATAAAAACCCGTGCTGCAGTTCCTATCCGACTAGACATACTAAACTATGAGGTGTGTGCAATACGTTGTGTTTCCTCTATACGGACTCATGCTGGCGTCGACTTGCATCACAGGAGAATTCGGGTTATCTAATCAAGAAGCTCACAGGACCGCTGGAAAGCTTCGAGAAAGAATATTATGACCTTATTCGTAGTGCTTTCCTAAAATACAGGCAAGTGGCTATTCTACCAAAGGGTCTCCCCCGTCACTTAATGACCTCATTATAGTTTTCAGGCTCGCATCGGGAACATGGATGGCGTTCTTGTTGCCTACCACAATACAGCCCGAATATTCGGATTCCAATACGTTCCTCTCGAGGAGATGGAAGCGCGCTTATATGGTCCCGGCGATGGGTCGCGCGTGTTTGATAAGTGTCTCCGCCTACTCGAATTTGTCCTGAAAGAAGTCGTGGGGGTGTATGGCCAGCGGGTGTGTACATCTGTTCTATCTCATGTTGTTGCGTGGGTAATCAAACCATGGGCTTCTCCCGTAGAGCGTGAGATGCACGTTCGACAAGCGGGATCACGTTAATGAGATGGTCGTGTTCGTCGAACCAGTCAATTGGGTCGAAGCATCTGAAGGTAAACCGTGTCCGATCACCCAACTCGAAGTAAGGGTAGAAAACCATCTCAACGATGCGCCGGTACGTGGGTCGACGGCAGTTGCATCTGATCAACCGTGTAAGTTCGGTTTTTTACGCTCCCCCTTCCACCACGTGCCCTCGTTCATCCTATTCAATTATCTGATAGGCGACAACTAACTGATGCACTCACAGGGCTCATCCGCTGGACGATATCCCATTCTGCTGCTGATGGTGTAGACATTCGCGGTAACCTCTCGCAGAGCCAAAACCGCCAACTTATTGCACACCACTTCCCAACCGGGGTGACGTCCATCTCAAAGATGGCAGCGTACTGGGATAACATTAATTTTGGTGGTCCAGTGTCGAAACCTTCCGATGGGGACCCACTGTCCTCTTCCCCCAATACAAATGCAAATGACGTCGAAACCAGAGGCGACGAATGGCACTCCTTGAGGCAATCACTCGCATTCCGCACTGCACCTCCCCGGATCGAGTATTTGAGAAGACTAGCTCGGGAGGGGCATGATGCCACTATGCGCACGGAAGCCGAAGAAGCGTTATCTGGGCGGGGAAAGATCGTATGGGGTCCAGCCGATCACTTGGGGGACGTAGTGGAGGACCAGAATTGCCAGCTTGCGGGCGACATGTCGGCATCAGCCGAGGATGGAGGGGAAGTCGGTAGCGTCAGTGTTTCTGTTGACGAGTCATGCGTGTCAGCCACCGGTGTCGGGGAAGGTGAGGCGTCGGATGCAGGTCCAGTTCCTGAGGGACTAGATAAAACCGCCGAAAAACAGGGCCCAGAGCCAAGTGGAACCACGACGGATCATCCCACGGAAGCTAACGTTAGTAACGCCACTCATTGACTAGATTCATAGACATCGTATATAGCATAGTGTAGATGAACTTAATCGTCGTCGTCAGTTTGCGTCGCATCAGCGAGCGTTCTCACAAGTCTTCCCGAAGTACCAATTATGGTGGGGTAGCACCTCGGGGGATTGTCTCTAGTTTAGCTTGCACAATTGAATTGTTAAGACTAATTGTAGTAATGGAGGAGGTGCGTACTTGAACATAAGCAGCATGAATCTGGCAGGACTCCTTCATGGACATCCTGTTTGCATTGAAGATTGGATAGGCTAATGTTTCAACTCCCAAGTTAACAGAACCCCATGCTAACATGATACTATCAACCGAATACACGTTTCTACCGACTTTGGGTTACACCTTTCCATGGTCTGGATGAAGGATATCAATCCATGTTCTTCGTACAAGAATTTTAGAAAGAAAGAAAGAAAAAACACTTCACTCTTCGGATTCAGTCGAGTCATTTTCCCCACCCGATTCAACCCCATCATCTTCCGCATCCCATTCCTCAAATGAATTTTCTGCACCCCATTCCTCAGGTGCACTTTCCCCATCCCATCCCCCATATAAGCTCGATGACCTATAGGACGAAGAGATACTAGACCCATGGTCATTTAAATATTCATCGTCGCTCTCTTCAAAATAATCGAACTTCTCCAGATTCTCTTTCAACCACCTTTCTTCCTCGGAGTGGACAAACACACTATATGGTACAAATACCATTCGCAGAGGTACACCGGCCCGTTGTCGCCCTTGCACCAAAGGTCGAACATCGTAACCGGAGATACCAGAAGTGAAGAGCGTCGTCAGACGAGGAAGGAAAACCTGGTGAGGCACGGTGGTATCAGGGGACCCATCCTCTAACGTCTGCGGCAGCCGGGGGCGGAGGTCTTCGAAAAATCGAAAAGAGAGGTGGCGCATGGACAGGTTAAGAGACTCGAGGTTGACGAGTTCGTTATACATCTGCTTGATGCTCTCGTCGCTGCATAATAAACCAGCGAGTTTAAAAGACTCGAGGCCCCTAAGCAGACTACGTGGTTGTGCTTGGGATGAGGATGCGGCAGGGATAGTCGTAGGTCCCACTAAGTATGTGACGAGATCGGCATAATCCCTGTCATCAAATTTGAGAGCAAGGCCCTTGAGCGAGGGCATACATAGTTGCCCCAACAGCGGAATGATTTCGAAGGGCGGGATAAACGCCAGCTCGAGTTGGATTAATTGAGGAAGTAAAATCGAACTATTTGCGTCGCTCCACTCCAGGGTACCGGGTCCAATAGTCCAGTCTCCAAGAGATACAGAAGGGCCTGACATTTCAAGAGACAGCCTCTTGAGCGTTGGCGCGGTTGCACGTAACATAGCGAAAAATGTAGGCCAATGAGGGCGGAAGTCTTCCAAATGATAAGCAAGTTGGAGTTCGACCAGGCAAGGAGACCGAAGCCAACTTTGACTCCAATCGACATGTACGCCGCACAAACTGATGTTCTGGAGACGCGGGGCGGAACCGCTGAAAAGCGTCAAGTGATCAGAGAGTTCTGAATTTATGGGAAACGTAACGATAGAGTCTTCGGATTCTTTGTAATATAGCTGGAGGACACGGAGTTGGGAAGCGGGAGGAACGGATCGATCCGAGACTGCCTTCAGGAATGCGTACATATGCTCGTAAGACGCGGCATTGACCTCTATTGAACCCCATCTGGGAATGTGAGGAACCAAGAGAGTAAAGAGCATCTCGAGGTTAGCCTTAGAAATCACTGGTTCGCCTCTGTCGTCTAAGAGGCCAATCGGATTTTCGGAACCGATGCAAATGTCCAACGGAAGACTTTTGCTACGTTCCAAAAAGGCTATCACTTGTTCGTAAGGAAGTTGGTGCGTACACGAAACCTCGATCCTTGTCCAGAGTGAGGAGGTTCCCAGCGCGAGGGTGCGCCAGTGTCTGCACACTTGGGAGACGACAATTTGGAAAGGTAAACGGATCTCCGAGTTGTGGGATAGTCCGCTAGGATATTCAGAGCGTTCGCATTCTGCATCGGATCCCTCCTCTTTAATTACTTTGGTTTCATGCTCGCCTTTCTCTTCTTGGATTTGACCCTTTTGTTCACCGGAACCTTCGTCTGCTCTATCCCCAACACGGCGCCAAAACTCCTTCCAAGTCAGAGGCGCTTTCTTATCTGCTTCATCCAAGATATCCGCCGCAGTCCCGTACTCAAAAATGAGAGACAGAATTTCAGGCGGGAATCGATTTACGGGACATGAACCATCTGATGGAGGGATGAAGGGGTTGTTTCGGAGCTTTTGCGAACGTTGAGCATTCGCTTCTCCGTGGTCTGTAGTATCCATTATACTGTTAGGTTGGCGGGCAGGAATTGGTACTAGTCAGGGCGTGTGCAAGGTCGTTAGGGTGGCTGTAGGCTCACTTGGAACCCATGGATGGGCTACTTCTCAACCTTTCCATCTTGTTCCAGGTATGGAGCTTGAATGCAGGCTCCAATTGATGGGTAGCGCGACAGAGTTTGTTGTGCTCCTCAGGGATTTGGTCTGTGCTGTTTATGTTACAGTAGAAAGTCGCCCCTCTTATAATTCTAGTCTAGATGACTTATCGCCCCCTAATCGTTTCCAGTGGTCATGGGGCGGCCCGTACCGGCCCTTACTACACAATCCAGGCCAGATTCAGCCGGGTCACTTATTGGCAACTTGTAACTACCGACATCTTCAACAGACTTCACGGCACCATACCCGATATGACGCCCTGGTGGGAATACCAACTCAAGTACTCACACTTAACAGAGTCCAAAGTTCAAACTTGCAGGTTGATGTACACACATCAGGAAATTAACACTTTACTATTTTTGACCTTTTTGTGACTTTTTTTGACTTTTTTGTGACTATTGTGACTATTTGTGACTTTTTGGGAAGGAACCTACTATCTGTACTTTTTTTTTTGACCATATACAGCATTTTGAAGAATGAAAAGAGAACAGAATCTATTGAGACAACTAAGTGATGATATATCTAAGCCAAGAAGACTAGAAAATGTCTGAAAATTCAGAGATATTGAGCCATTGGTGTGATGCACACTGTCTGAGAGAAAAATCACAATATCTCTTTGGAACCTCCATCAATTTGAATGTATGTGGTATCTACTGATAGCTATGAATTAGGTGGTTTGAACAAGACCAAAATAAGCAAGAACAGTGCAGCCATGCCTGCAGGACATGGGTAATGATAGTAGATTCCTTCCCAAAAAGTCACATTAGTCACAAAAAGTCAAAAATAGTAAAGTGTTATTTTCTTGATGCACACACACACATAAATATGCTGTTCTACGCATGCATGCCCCCAGGCTCGATTATCAGTGCTGAAGTCTCCATCCTTTTCACATCTGTATCCCTGGGTGTTACCATACTACAAGACCATGACTGGAGTTTGACAGATCTAATGAACTATAGTATGAATACTTCATGATACCCATAGTTCTTGATTCCACTGCTCCGGATGGTACATCTCCCATCCACGCTGTCACAGGGTGTCTCTGAATTATGAAGGTAAGTGTATAGAAGATTATTAAAGTGTTTTGGGGTAAACGAGGATGAACTGAGAGAAGGATGGGGGAAAAGAAGGGGGAATTGCGATCATGATGGGAATGGTAAAGTAAAGGACTTGGCAATGTTTATCATCAGTGGGTTGGATAGTCGTTAGAAGTGGTCCGTACCTGCAGTGGACCGGGTTACTGAAAAAATACTACAATACTGCACAGTTGTTATAGTACCAATGCATAGTGGTCTGTACCACAATGTAGCAAAATTGTCAGCCACTACAATGCTGGTGAGATGGCTGGCCTTCTCAATCACAGATATTGCAGTTAGATGTACTTGATAACACTCAGGGAATCCCAACTTAGTATCATATCAATATTTTTGAGAGTATTGAACAAAAAGATGTGTAAATCAAAATGTATGGACATGCAAATCAAAGCATATGGAAGCATAAATCAAAGTGTTTGATGATATTGGTGAAGTTCAGACAGCCCTCCCTCAAAGGCCTGTGAGGACAATCCAGCCCACAGATATTCCCCAGCCCAAGGATCACCTTCTGGATTGATGTGACTGTATGTGAATGCAGTAGATGTCAGGTGGAAGGGAGCTGCCCCCAAGTGGGATGGAGCCCCATATGTCAGTGTCAGAGATGACACAGCCTCATAGACCACTACCTCATCTGCACAGGGTATGAATATGCATGGAATCTTCTTTGGAGATGTGACAGTTTGGTTTGAAGAGATTAATTTCCTGGCAGTGGTTGTCATTTTCTTCATAACATCTTAGCTCCCCTACAGGTCTTATTGATGTTGTCTGCATCAACCAACTGGCTGCCCAATGTAGCCACTCCATCACCAAACAACCAAGTGTCACTTGGTATACCTGCCCCTTCAGTATGTTCTGATCCCTATGTCTAAGAGGTTATACATGTTTATATTTGGGTAGAATATGACACAGTCATTGTTTGTCCCTCCTCCCCTAGCTCATCAATGCTGCCCTTTTGGTATGAAAGCACTGTACCTCCCTGCACCTCCACCTGTCTTTGTACTTCCAGGCTGCCAACACCATGCTCAAGATACTGCTGCAATACCACATTGCCCTCAGCACCAACCTGTTGATGTCTTCAATGCTGTGAATGAGCTTGAACTCAGTGAGGTTGGCTTGCCTTCATGTCCAAGTGGTTCACAGAAGCATGAGAACCAATGGCAATGGTGGTCACAAGATATCATTCCAGCACTTCTCAAGCCCTACATGTGCTATCTTGAGGCATCCCAATCCCTCCACATGGTGGTAGACCCCCCAGTCATCTATTGAGCCTAAAAATGCTTATTCCAATTCTTTGAGTATCTGGGGTAAGCATTGACTCTTCTTCAAATATAATTCCAGTGCTCATTTTACCCTTAGTATCATCAGAGATTATTTGTCCTTGACAATCAAATTTGACACTTGGACAAGAAGTCTTTTGATGCATTTGGCCAGTGGCTGAGCAGGAAATGGTCCCTCTGCAAAAGTAGGAAATTGGTGGCTTTGGAGGCTCTTCATGCTCTGCATGTTGACATGCAGACTCTACAGCATGAGTGGGCTGCACAAGTACATGCACAAACTCAACTTCTACCTCATTAGTCTGTTCCCTTTATGTGTGTGCGATCATATGACTCACCAACCTGTAGGTCAGTCAAAGAACAAGGGTTCTGAACAGTTGACACATGTCCTTGCTCTGGAGAAAACAGTTGAGGACTATCAGTGGATATAACCAATATATGAAAAAAGCAATTGCTTTTTCTGGTTTTCCCCCAATCAGATGTTGCAATTGTTTAGGCCCATTAGGATGGGCAGAAAATCATTCATTTATGGTCTAATGGAATTATAGTACATGTAACTATCTTATACAATGCCTACAGCAAAGGGACAGAGCCCAGAAAGAAAGGGGAGGCTGGGGACAATGAGGGCAGTGTGTGGGAATGTTGGATATCAGGCACATGCCAAATAAGGACATGTTTCTGGGAGTAGTGGCTGCGCTTTTTGATGCTTATGTAATTACATAAAATTCAGAGGAGTGATGAAAATAAACTGTGGGGATTTGTGGGGAGAAACTCCAAAGGGCAGGAGGGGGAGTGGGCAGATCTCAAATCTACACTACTAGTATATTGATGCATCACTTCACCTCCAATTCATGATGGAATGGTGTGCATGGAAAACTGCTGTTGAGTGGGTGCTGAGGATATGACATCCACACAAAACAGATAGGTGGATGGCCAGCAATAGCTTGATTCATGCAGCACACAGTCAGGCTGCAGCCTGCTGCATCTGGATCACTGAAATCACCTCCAATTCATGCAGGAATGGTGTCTGCAGAACACTGCTGGTGAGGAGGTGCCAGGGATACCACATCTGCTCAATACAGATTGGTGGATGGCTCACAACAGTTGGATGAATAGCACATACATCCAGGGTGCACCTTGCAGGATCTTTCTCACTCAAATCAGTTCCAATTCATGCCTGAATGGTGTCATTGGACAGCTGCTGTTCAGCAGGTGCCAGGGATACTGCATCCACTCAATATGGATGGGTGGATGGCTGGCAATAGTCTGGTTAATGCCAGATACATCCAGGCTGCAGCTTGCAGGATCTGGGTTACTCCAATGAGGTCCAATTCATTCCAGAATGGTGTCCATGGAAAGCCACTGTTGAGTGGGTGCCAAGGATACCACATCCACTCAATACAGATGGGCAGAAGGCTGGCAATAGTCTGATTAATGCCAAATACACAAAGGGTGCAGCTTGTGAGGTCTGGGTCACTCAAATAAGCTCTGATTCATGCCAGGATGGTGTCCATGGAAAGCCACTGTTGAGCAGGTGCTAAAGATACCTCATCTGCTCAATACAGATGGGCAGAAGGCTGGCAATAGTCTGATTAATGCCAAATACACAAAGGGTGCAGCTTGTGAGGTCTGGGTCACTCAAATAAGCTCTATTCATGCCAGGATGGTGTCCATGGAAAGCCACTGTTGAGCAGGTGCTAAAGATACCTCATCTGCTCAATACAGATGGGCAGAAGGCTGGCAATAGTCTGATTAATGGGACATACATCCTGGGTGCAGCTTGTGAGATCTGGGTCACTCAAATCAGCTCTGATTCATGCTGGAATGGTGTCCATAGAAAGCCACTGTTGAGGGGGTGCTGAGGATACTGCATCTGCTCAATACAGATGGGAAAAAGGATGACCAATAGTCTGATTAATGGAACATACATCCCAGGTGCAGCTTGTGAGGTCTGGGTCACTCAAATAAGCTCTGATTCATGCCAGAATGGTGTCCATGGAAAGCCACTGTTGAGAAGGTGCCAAGGATACCTCATCCACTCAATGCAGATGGGCAGAAGGCTGGCAATAGTCTGATTAATGGGACATACATCCTTGGTGCAGCTTGTGAGGTCTGGATCACTCAAATCGGCTCCAATTCATGCCAGAATGGTGTCCATGGCAAGCTGTTGAGGGGGTGCTGGGGATGCCACATCCACTCAATGTGGATGGGCAGATGGCTGGCAATAGTCTGATTAATGCCAAATACATCCAGAGTGCAGCTTGTGAGATCTGGGTCACTCAAATCATCTCCAATTCATGCCAGCATGGTGACCATTGAAAGCTGCTGTTCAGTGGGTGCCAGGGATACCACATCCATTAGTGACAGGCCTGTCTTTACATTTCAACAGGGTACATCTTACTGGGGCCAGGCCTGCCCATATGTTGTGACAATATAAATAATACTACTGAAGGGCCCTTCCATATGTTGTGATGCTATACATGAGATTACTGACAGGCCCATCTTTATGTTTTAACAGCAGTACATCTTACTATTGACAGGCCCATCCATATGTTGTGACATGATGAAACAACATTACTGACAGGCCTGTCTTTATGTTGTGACAGGGGTATGGCTTATTATGAACAGGCCCATTTATATGTTGTGACACCATAAATGATATTCCTCCTGGGCCCATCCTTATGTTGTGACCCTCTCCATGTTATGATAGGTGGGCCTGCCTTGATGATGTGACAGGGGTGTAACCTACCAGGATGGGCCCATCCATGTCTTACAGCAGCTCAGTATTCTTAATTGGTCATGGACCCATCTAAATGTTTCAACATCCTTACCCATTACAGGCCCTCCCATATGTTGTGGGAATGCACTTATGGGCCTGTACATATGTTGCTCTCACTTTAGTCCCTCAGGCCTGTCCATGTGTACTGGCTAATCTATTTAGGCAGGCCCATCTTGGGGTCTATATAAGTGTTGGTGTTTTGGTGCACAGGCTGCCCATGTGTTGTGACTAAAGTGTGACTACACTATGTGGTTTTTCTTGTTGATCAAGAAAACAACAACATTGTTTATGGAAATCATGGCAATTGGAGAGGTGATAGGGAGCCTTGACATGGGTAATATGACACCTTTCGATGATGTCACTGCTCCATTGGTAAGGAGCACCCATAGCACATGTGCTCCATACAACATGTTGACCCAACTCCAGCTTTGGGATCTGGAAGTGTTGAAGTGGTCCATTTTTTCCCTGGCAACCTCCAGCAGAAATGACACTTTGTTTATAGTGATGGAACTCCTGCAGTGCTTCTGTGAATGAATGTGGGGTCTTGTTGAAGTGATAGACATTCTGTGCTAGAAAAATAAACTCAGTAATTGCCCAAATGGTGCAAAGAACATCATCTGGCAATGCCCCTGTGGTGACAATAGGCAGTACCTTTTTGAGATCATGATGTTCCCTGCCTGTGCACTGCTTGAGGGTGGAAATTCCATTCAGCCAATTACATGTCCCAATTCTTGGCTGAAGGAGAGCAAGGTGATGATCAGGTTCTGTACCTCTGATAATATTGATAACCCAGTGCAAGCAATGGTCAAAGTAAAACTTGTGCCATTGATGGAGTGCATCAGGTGTGAGAAAGACTGATGGACATGCATCCCCCCAATCCACCCAGAATGGTTCCACAACACTGTTGAGACACTTTTCCATACATACCTTGTGGAATGCAGCAATATTGCATGGATCACAGGTAATCTGCAATCCAAGTGCCAAGTGGTGTATGGATTATGTGAAGATTGCTGTTGGGATCAGATAAGACCACACCATCACAATGGGCTAACTTTAAGTTCTTCATCACAATTGAAATGGCAAAGTGATACACATGGGAGGATAGAACAGCCTATACAGCAGGCAAAACATTACAGAACTTCAGAATTGGGAGGTATGCAGCTAGTGCAAATGAATGTGATGTGGCCTTCATCCACATGCCAGCATGAATATTTGCTAGGGAGAGCAAAAGCAGGTGCATTTCTTTATTTCCAGTACTGATCATCAAAGGAGTCTTGTCTGAAGCACCAATTACACCAAGGAAGGAATGACCAGTGGGTAATGAGTCCTATCACAGGAAGTCTCAGCATCAGAGATGTACTTGATCAACATGTTACTGACCTGTATCTCCCAAGCCTGATCAGCACTCATGAATTTGCCATACACACACTCTGTGCCATTCAGCATTTCCTCAAATTCTCAATATGGACTCATGTCCATACAATTGGAGAATACCAGTGTCACACACCAAAGGTGTTTGTTGAGGTGGACATGGATGCAGCTGATGAATGGAGATGAAGACCATAGCCCTCATGTGAAGGACAGCCAGAGATGTCAGCAGTCATCCCTCACACAAGAATGAGTCATCAATGCCAAAGAAAAAGGAAGGAAGCAAGTTAAGCACTGATAAAAATTCTTAAGCACCTGTGTATGGCATTCCAGTTTTTGATGTATCTCCACCAATTCTCAAGATACTGACACCATTCCAACACTTGCTTATAGTGCTCAGCCATGTGATCCTACCTTCCAAAATTGGAAAGGATTTGTGCACTCCACATGTTTCTACAGCACTCCCTCCAAAAGACACTCATTTTGCTAGTTCATCTGATATGGCTGCCTCCACATCAATCATTTTTCTTGTCCCCTTTTCCAGGGACCATGGCAACATATATCTACCAGGAGTTCCTACCAGCTTCTGTCCTGAAGCATCCTGGTACATCCCATCCTTGTCTGCCCCCTTTCAGCCCATCCAGCTTGGACAGCATGTTCTTTTTGTCAGTATGACCTCTAGGAGGACATTCTTTGGTTGCCTCAGGTCTGTCATTAGCTTGGAAAGGTCTTCTGTGGTTGTTTCAGTCTCTCCTGTCCAAGAAGCATATGGATCCTTCCTCCCTGCTCCCTGCAACATCTTCATACCAGTCTTGTCCATCATTCTTCCAAAATTGCAACAGCTACAGTATAATCTACTGTTCTCCACTCTCCCTGATCACATCCATGACAAGTATGATGCACATCTTGCCTCCTTATTGCAAGATACAGAAGAAGATGCTCCCCCTTAATCCACTCTTCCAACAGAGCCTCATACATGAAGTTTTTATTTGCTTCACTGAGAGGACAGTTAGGAGGGGAAAGTTGCAATCCCCTATGCTCCTGTCACCCCACAGACCCCCAAAGCTTGACCCCTGTTGACATCTGACTCACCCTGTCTGCTTTTGGATGTACTATATCAGCATCAGATCAGTGCTGCCTCTCTGTCATCCCACTTTGGCCCAGCAGCAATCTCTTTGAGATGTGACATGCACAGCCTCCCCCTAATGCAATTCCAGTGCACTTTCCCAGTTTCTGACATTACATTCTGACTGTCTTTGACTCACATATTGCCAATACTTACCAATCTTTTGACCTTGCTTACTGATTCTTTGCTTTTTGGCTTACTTATCCTTATCAATGCTCACCAATGTTTTCTAAGACAATTACCCACTGCTTACATTCCTTACTTATCACTTACCAATCACTTACCAAGTGTTTGCACCTTGTTTTCCATAGGCAATGCCCCTGTACTGTATATAAATCATTGTACTTAGATAGCTGAAAAAGAAGGAGATGTCAGAGAGCCCCTCTTGCTCACATATCATCATCACTCAGTAATTCATTCAGCAGCTTTGATAGTTGAGACTTTATTAAGGGTCTAGCTATCATCTACTTTGCTTATCACCATCTATCATCAATATACTTTGCTCCAAGTCCTCCCTGAGCTCAGTGCAGCTCAGAGTATCGAATTAAGTCACCATCCATCCTTCTGTAGGCTGACAGCAGTCTACCCTATCGCATTCTATCACATTCTTGCTCCCTCTTTGTCAGGAGCACCCCTAACCCTCAGCACTTGTCTTTGAGTGTTGTAGCTTGCAAAAAACCCTCCCAAATCAAAGGTTCTACCATCTAGGTACTGCATAGGCACAGTTTGACTCACACCAGATTGTGAAAGAGGTGTTTGACCACCTCAAGGCCATCATGCCAATAAAGGACAAGCAGATCTTTCATTTGATAAGACTCTACTTTAATTTCTTGAAAATGCCAACATGGGACTTCAGGCAAAGATTCAATACATGCATGGAGATCCTTGGCAGTGTTGAATGAAACAGGGAAGTCTTTCATATATTTAACAGTGAGTATTCACACATGTGCTGGATGAGCACACTCACACATTGTAGATGTAAGTAAGCATCAATCTCCTTCTGTGATAAGGCACCACTTGCCAGCCAGTTGGCAAGTTCCCACTCACCCTTTGATGCAAATGGATAATAAATGTTTTCAGAGTCACATATATGTGTGAATTCATCTTGGTCAATGTGCTGAAGATGATTCAAGCCTCCTTTGAGGCTCTCACCCTGATTTGGATGATATGTTCATACATGCAGAGCTGACACCAAAGGGGGGAGAGTTTCAGGAGATTTGTAGTGGGTGTCATCTTCAAGGGAATGGTGAACATTTGTGCAGTTGCTGTTCTTGCTGTCATTGTCACTATCATCAAATGGGTTGTCAAAGTTCCTGTTTGTGTCAACTAGAGAATTTAAATGTTAACTGCATAAAGATTGTTGAATGCTACACACCATCATTAGCAACATCGACATCATTGAGGTATTCATCTCCAAAGGGCAACCCTACAGGCTCCATGCTGGGTAGGATTTGAACAAGCCACTGTCCACATGGCCCTGGCCCAGACAGATGCTGCATCACAGCATCCCCTGCAGTAAACAGTGTAGTGCAGTTAGGGCAAGTGAAGCCAGTATTAGCTAGGGCAGGAAGAGTGATTGAGAAGGGATCCGAGGCAGCCATTCTGATACTGAAGTCCCAGGTTACTGTTCTGCCTCTTTTTACATGGGTCATGAAAATTTAAAAATGGATAATGGGCAAACTTACTGGGGGAATAAGTGACAAGGATCATTGTAGAGATGGGGATCTGCAGTCAGTGGTTTACACATGTCCCCAACCCATGAGTAGTGATATAGGATTAGGGTTAGGAGTTGTGCTCCCTCAAACCACCTTCTACTGCTAAGTGCACTAATACTTACTGGTGCCAATATGTCCATGCAGTCATCAGGAAATCACTCAATTAGCACATCACAATCCAGTCGATTTGCCCTTCCATCGACCCCCCCTTCATTGAAAACAAATATGACAAGCCCTCCACCAACTAAGTCAAGGGAGGAAGAGGTTTTGGATCATGTTGTGTTATCACCCAAAAGTCTCAAGCACACTCACTTTCAGCTGGCCTTGCCATCTGATAAAAATAGTGGTTCTCCATGCAAAAAGACCAAGAAACTGGTCACAATGGTCAGGAAATCTTGTAAACAGCTAGACTTGATATTGACAATGAGATACAGACTACAGCCAACATATCTCCAGAGGTTGAGAACCTTTGCTCTCATTGGATGCTGCAGCTTGCTCAGGCCAGCCAAGATGCATTTGCCACAGGTGTCAAGTATCAGCACCTCCACCTTTGAGAGATTGAATTGATGCAAATGATCACTATGGATGACTTTGAGGAGGCAAAGACCTTTCTGAAAGTTGCTGACCATCAGGTTGGGGAGGTCAAGCATATCCTTAGCTGTGAAGGAAGCTTAGGATTATTTAACCCTGGCATCAAACTTTTACCAGTAGACAACAGTAACACTGGGGACAGTGACTTTTCTGGGTCAGAATGTGAAAGTTCTGCCTCCCCTATCCCTTCCAATTTTGATAATGCTTGAATTCTTCATGCCCATCATACGGTGTAGTATACTTGTTGTTTGTTCTATATGTCTATGTGCTGTGTTGTGCTGTAGCCACACAATGTCCATCTTATGTCTGTACTAAGCATTGGCATGTTGGTGTGAATGCAGTGATTTAAAGGCACACCACATGTTGCAACTTCTGCACCTCACCCCAAAGTTGGCATCCTATATGGTTCATTTAACTACAAATACTTTCTCCAGGACAAACTGAATATCAGTCATATTCATGGCCTGCCATTTGCATTTGGCATGCTTGGCCAACCTCAAATACATCATCCTCTGCCTCACTGCATAACACCACACCCCAGGAGCTCCAACACTGCTGCTTCCCATCTGTATCTTATGCCATTTGTTTGCTTGAAATCTGAAGAAACTTATAGCCCATTAAAATTCTGATATTACGAGCTCTTCCTCTTCTTCCCAATGATCTTTGATGGATTTTTCTCACAGCCAATGAATATGATAAACTAATTGAAGAAAGTTCATCAACCTTAAAGCACTGTTGAACAGTAAGGTCAACATACATTCAGACATCCAACTCTTTGATTCTGTGTCCTGTGGGATGTTGATTGACCAAAACCATGGAAGATGAGTTCCACAGTGCTCCTGTGCATTTTGGGAGAAGGCCACTGTCTGCACAGCCAGGTCTTCTTTACAAAGCTCTTGATAATGCCCTAAGATATCTGCACCTGTGCCAAGTACAACCATGGCATCTCTGCATCAATTATAAATCATGGCCTGTTTTTTTACTGAGACATTGATAGCATGGATCATATCCCAGGCCTGAGTTTTCATAGAATAGCTCTTAGCTGTGTGCACCCCCCCCCCAAAAGACAGCCACCTTGTCTGCCAACATAAGACAGAGGCCATGTAGCACATCATTAGCTTGACCTGTGTGAAGCTTCAGCTCCA